CAATGAATAAAAAAAAACTTGAAATAGATTTTTTCAGTACATAATACTTCTTTAAATTAATTTGAATAATTTATAATAGAACAGCTTTACAAACGTTTATTTTTTTAATGAGTTAATACAATAATATTGGTCAAATCAATTGCTTTTTAACTGATTGTGAGTTTATAGAGCTGGATGTCTAGTAAACCACTTTTGATTGACACATAAGCTGATCAACTCCTAACTTCTCATGAATGGCTTTCAAATGATAGTAATAGCTGGGCATAGATTTCCAAATGTAATAGTCAACTGACAGTTTTTTCTGCTCCTCTCTTGCTTCAAATTATGCAATTTACAGGGGGAAAATCTATTTAAAATGAAATTTCTTTTTCTACCTCGAACAGATTTACAAGAATTAAACGATAATTTCAGTACACCATTTTTGAGACAAAATAAATCGACAGTAAGAAATTAAAATAAGAAATTCAGACTCAAATCGTGGTCACTTTATTTTCTGGGGAAAAACATTAAGATTTTCAATCTTAATCAATATGCTTCTCCTGCATCGTCAAGTTATTGCTTTAAAACTAAAAGTAGATTAAACTTAATGACTTATTGATGATATTGATCATCGGTTCAGTTGATTTCCCGTAAGACCTAGCAGTCAAAACTGTAAATTGTGGTCATTAACATTATTGCGCTTTCAATTGCTCAGAAAAATATTTGCTACTTAATGTGTAGTATTTGAAATTCAGCAGTACAGATTTTACATTTTTTGTGCATTTATTTATTCTCCTAGGCGTCCTCTGAGAACAGCCGAAGTTGCAGCTATAGTTGTGTTTGTGCACGCGTATTCTGTAAGAAGACTGTTGTTTGCGGCGCAATAAAAGCGTACATACTTCATGTCTAGCCCCATTTGTATGAAAGCTCCAGCAGCACTATGGTGTGTGTGTGTAATTTTAAATGCGGAGGCGGGGGCGCAAAAGCCGGGAGAGCGAGAAAGAGACGTCGGTGGGTTTGCGCTTTGCTGGCGTGTGTAATAATATTGCTAGCGCGCGTGCGACGAGATAGGAAGGCAAGCATTGTTCTATAAAGTTCTCGGCCATTTAACACGATATGAATTGCATTTTGCCTACCAACCAGGCGCTGCTCCTCGCATAATCGCGGCGCTAGCAGAGAAGAAATTTTCGGTCGCGAGGATAAACTAACTTAAAGGGGTCGCGGGGGGTGCAATGCGTGCAGTGCATCCTTTGCGCACTTTCGCCTATACACACTTAAGTCCCTATCGTCTTTATATCTCTGCACTTTGTCGGGGGAGAGCAACGAGCGAGAGAGTCTGCTGCTTTTTTTCAGAGAGAATTACTGCTAGTTTACGTTGCCGCGAGCTGAAGGAAATTATAAATCGGGGCTTTTGTGTGCATGCAAATTGCTCTCATTACTTAATCGCGCATCATGGAATGAGTAATTTTGCAAAATACTTTCCTCTTCAGACTTTCCCTTACTTTTAAATTAGAGCTTAAAGATAAATTGATTTATAGTGAACAATAAATAACGTTATAGAAACTCTAGAAAGGAATGCAACACAAATTTGGATGCTATTTTTTATCAAAATATTGGTAGTTTTTTTTTTTTAGTTCTATTAATAGAAGGACGCGGATATTCATGCACATATTAGCATTTAAAAATTACATGAGTGGAGAAAACCGGATACACCAATAATAATATTAAGGAAAATAATCAGATAAAACTATTTTGAAATGGATGGATGGACTTCTGAAAATTTGCATCAAATAATGTATGATAAAAGCTTAGCATTGAAATTTTACTAATCCAGTTGAAACATACAATTAGATAACATCAAATATGAACTAAAAATATGGATTTTCTTGATTACATGAAAGTTGTATAACTTATATTTTATCAATTTCGCAAGCATTTAAAAGATCCTCACAAAATTCACATTGGCTGCTTTTTTTTACTTTCAGGCTTCTATAGCAATTTAATCCAGTTTACTTAAATTTTAATATTGCATTTTTATTTTTATCTTTTAAAATTTGGAACGTATTTCACATAAATTTGGAACATCTAAATTAGAAAACTTGAGCAAAACGTTTATTAAAGAAAAAAATAATAATTTAGACACATATCAATCCCATTATAGTCTTCACTTAACAAATTAATTACAATGTAACTCCAGGGTTCTAAATTTAGGTAGAAATTTTTTAAATGAAATAATTTGAAATAACAGAAATCTTTTACTGAACTTTAAACCCTTAATTATTGTAAGCTTAATACAAGTTATATTTGAAAAAGAGCCTTGTGGAATTTAAATATACGGTGGATTTTACAATGATTGAAATTAAACAGCAAATAAGATGGAAAAGAAATTTCTGGAAACCTGATATCTCTTGTGGTTGAATAACTAACGACTTTGTTTTCAGAGATCCTGCTTGAAATGCACTTGACTTCTTGCTGTGTTGAGGCGCGATAATTGCACAATTAGAGGCGCGAGAGCAAGCACTGAGAGTCGGCCGGTTGAAGGATTCTTCTGCGATACTCATTACAAGTAAAATAAGTTACAAGAGAGGTTTCGCGAGAAGATATTCGCGCACATATTTAAGAAAAAACTGGTTTCACGCAGCGCATGTATATGTATGAAAAGGACTGAAAGGGCATCTGAGGAATGCCGGATGAACGGGTGGGGCGAGTGTATTTATTTATGCTTAATTGCGCGGATCATGCCCATCTGCATAATCCATTTTTGAAGCTGGACAATCCGAAAGCCGGAGGGAGAAAAATCGCACATAAAAAGGGAAAAATCTCATTTAAAACCGCGCGGGCCATAAATTTGCAGGAAACAAGCACGCGGCCGCCGGCGCCACTTTCCGTGTTATTTTAGAAAAATGCGGGGACAAATAACACGCGGACGGGAGCATAATGTGGCTAAATGCTTTTGCGGTTTGGTCCAGCATGCTCTCTCTGTCGAGCAATTTGCGCAGAATCAATACTCGCCGCGCGTTTCTCTATGCTACAGAGAGCGAATGGCACAAGCGAGGGATCTCTGTATTTGTTTGCTTGATTGCAGCCTATATTATGGATTTATCTCCATCTCAACGCTATTTTTCTCTGTGCTCTATTGTCCGACACTCCGGTGGCGATTGACCTTTTGACTGTCAATAAAAATTATCACCGAAAAACGGTCGGATGATTTATGTGTTTTATCTCAATTTGCCACAGCTGCCAATGTGAAGGTTAAAAAGGCACATTTTTTACGAACTATCAAAGCTATATTAAAAAATTTTCCTAAATTGCTTTTAATTTTTCATTTCACTTAAATAATTGTTTATAAAAAAATGATGTTCCAACATCCACTAACAACAATAAGATATTAATTAATAAATTTTGAAAATAAACAAGAAGAGAATAAAACGCTTCCATGACATGAGTTTGATTTAAAAATAAAAAATTAAGCTCACACTGCATGCAGCAAAAAAGATTCATAATTAATCTTTTGATTTACTTTTTTGCTTTACAATTCAGGCTAACCAGAGTGAGCGTGTAGTTTTAAAAAGATATCAGAAAGAAATTGAATATCCATTTTTTTTCGGTTTTTCGCATAACAAAAACGGTGAAATTAAAAATTCAGTAGTCTTTTTTCATTATAAACTAAAAATTTGTAACAATTTTAGTCCTTGAAATGCTTAGAGTTGCCTTCTTCACTGATGGTAATAGCAGAAAAAAATTAATCACATGACACATGTATGTGTTATTTGTTATTCTGCACAGGAGGCTAAATTCAATTGAAGTCTCAAGTTCAATTAAAAGATAGAGGAGTTTTTAAAAATTTTATGGGTTAATTTATTTTAAAAACTGCTGCGATAATCAATATGATTTTATAATAAAATCTAGAAAGATTTGTGCATATAAATTTATTTGTATTGGATACGCCAAAATTATGATCCTTGATAGAAGAGAAAAAGTGAGAAAAAGGTTTCAAAATTTTTAAAGTTCTCACTCGGCCCAGATGTTCCTGGTGCACAATTCAAAACAAAGCACCTTCACTTCTCCTCTCTCAACCAAATCGGACAAATCAGCGCACAATTTGGCAACCAAAGTTGGCCCGCGTTCAAGCACACGCGTTCCCTTGTTGTGCAAAGCACTCGCAACCCGTCGCAAGGGCCCACCCGGTCCTCGAGGGCCCACGACCGGTCTCAAAACACTGGTTCGCCATACCAAAACAAGCCGTTCCGAATGTCAAAGGGTCGCCCGGCGCCAGAGCTCGAACGGCCCTGACGTCAGGGTACTCACCTGAGCGCTAACGCTGGCCTCGATCGGCGCTCGGGGGCCTGCTGGGCCCCGCCATTAGGGAAAAAGGGCCCTTTTGGAGCAGCAGGCGCACACACACGTCCTGTCCTTATTTTACCCCTCTTCCGCTGCGCGCTCCCTTCTCGGTGCTTTATTGTGTGCTGGTGGCATCAGCGCAAAATCTCCACCATCCACGGCGCATCTTTGCAAGAGCGGCAAGAGGCGCCACTTTTGGAATTTCATGCTCTCGTGCGGCGTGCCCAAAAGGGGGCTCTACTTTGCATTGCGGAAAAAACTTTTTTATTCCAAATTTTCATAAATCCGGCATTACAAATCAAATTTGATTTATATAACATTAATTAAATTATTATTATTTCCTAAATCCAAATTAAAGATAGAATTTCTGCAGATACTTTAGCGCCTTTCAGGAATTAGGATTTATGCAAACTTATATTCTTGCTCTTTAATAATGACAAATATTCACAATCGAGGTGGGATTTATATTTTTGTGGAGTTGAAACTTGGCTCTTTCTCAATGATTTGTAAGAAACTTTGTTGAATAATTAATAAAAAAAATAATTTTATCGCATTGATTACAGCTCACAAATTACATATTTTCCTACTAAAAACATGAAGTCTCAAACATCTCACAAAGAAAAAGGCTAAATTTCATTTCAACAAACTATAAAGTATCAAAATAAAATTCAAAAGCTTAAACCAGATCGAATTTAATGAAAAAGAAATATAAATAATTTTAATACAGTTCTTATAAACTTGTGCCATAATCTTTTAATTTAAATCAGTGAATGCTACATACTTTAAGACAGTAATAAAAATACAATTTAATTTGTGCTAAAAGCACAAAAGCAGAGAATAGCAGCCCGTTTGCCAAAGGAATGCGATGTAATCAAATGCAAGCCAAGAGAGATCAGTCGCTGTCCAGTCCATCGCTTTCGTCGTCCTCCTTGTCTCTGATGCATTTGGTCTGGCCAAGAAGCGACTTGGACTTCCGTTCAGTCTGATCTGGGGGAGTCATCAGGTCTCCGCTGTAGTTGATCACTCCACACTGGGCAATGCGCCACTCCATGATCTCGGTGGTGAAGTCGTCTCTGTTTCCCAAATCAGTGAAGCCAACGATGTAGTCTTTGGTTTTCTGGTCCACGAACAATACAATCGTTGGGATGATTTTTATTTTCAGACGGTCTAGAATTATAAATTAAAAATTTTATTTGGTTTAGAATTCAAAATGATTTAAAAATGAGTTGGAATTGATATTATCTGGAAACATAACAGGATTTTTTTAATTGAAAAAAATCTTAAGAGAAAAATTATGAAGTAAAAAAATTATTGTTCCTTTTCAAGGGTTTAAAATTTTGAATAGAAATAATTAAATAAGGATCAAAATTTCAAATAGTATAATTTACCAGTGAGGAAAGGGCACTTCTCAACATTCAATTTGCAGAAGAGAGTTTCAAGGTGTTTTGGAGCTAATGTTCGCAAGTGGTGGTCAGCAATCTTGCAGCGGGCCGATCCATCCTTGTAAAAGTGGCAAACGACGTTTTTTGACTTCTTAGTCAGTTCAAAGAACTCTTTCTCCTCAGGCACTTCATTGTATTGACCATGGCCCTAGAAAAATAAAAATAAGAATTCTTAAAAATTGTTTTTACTTATAAGGTAAGGACGATTCCTTCTAGAAGATACAACATTTGTTTTTTTTTTTCATATTTTTTTTAGAATTTGAAACTTACTAGGGCCAAATATTCCTGTCTCAACTTTGCCTCCTTCTTCATATTCTCCAACCTCTTCTCCCTGAGCTTTTCAAAGTCATCCGGATCAAACTTTTCGAGCTTCTCAATTTCCGCATCGACGTGCTGCTCCACCTGCTTGATCACTTCCTGCATCTGGTTTTGCACGATTTGCTCCATTTTTATCTTGAATTTAGAAAAATTAATTAGCAAGAGATCAATTTAACTGTTACATAATTTGTTTATTTTATCCACCCGGTACATAATGTTATTTTACTTCTTTTTATCCGCATTAATTCATAGTAATAAAAACGTGGGCGTCAGGATGTTATTTAGATCATGAATTAAACGAAAATTCAAATGAATCTGACGGGAAATTATAATTAAAAACTTCCATCAAGTGTTAAATCACACAATCAATTGAAAATCAACAGCAGATATTACCTCTTTTGGTCAAATCCGCCGAATTTTTCAAGCCAATTTACAAACACACCAATGTGGGCGGAATTTTTGTTTTCTTGCGGCTGCTGATCGAGTGACGTCATGCTCGTCTCTGATTGGTCGAGAGCCTGGAAGGCTACGGGAATCAACGAATCGCGGCGAACCTGCACGGACTTTCACCATGCAGTTCAAAACAAAACATTTACAATTTTAAGATCTGTCAGAAATCTCGCATTTACTAGTTTTTTAACGTTTTGAATGTTTTAAGATATTTACCGTTTGATCCAAGAGGAATTTACATTCCTAGTAGGTAAGTTTCCATAAGTCTTAGAACCGGCCACCGTTGTAAAACCGTGCCCTCAACTTTATCTTTATTGAGGCCAATTTTAATTTGCACCATAAAAAGCGCTTGTGTTGTAAAAAAAGCTATGGCCTCTTCAGTCTTCAAAGAACAGTCATCTCTTTTGCCCTGCTTCTTGCATCAAGAGACTTATATACAGTCCTAACTTCATTACTAAAGTTAATTTCCTCGATTTATTTTCTTCATTTAATTGTTTTCATAATTTACTTTTACAGAAAACAATGGCAGAGTACATGGAGTATCAGTGGAATTTGGCAAACTCCGCCACTGAAAGTGATTTGCTAGCCAGGCCTCCTATTTTGTCAAAACATCAAGCAATTTCTGCCGTAAGAGGTCTGCTGCCGTCTCGACCGGATGTTGGTGCGTAGAGTAAAAACTAAAAATTTAATTTGTCCTGTTTAAATCGTTTCAGAATGATCTCTAAATGCACGTGAAAGCAAAATTTGTGATAGAAATTTACATCGATTTTTTTGCATGTTGTGTTTATTGTCTGAAATTTTCTCAAGGTTTTCTCTGCACGGAGGATGAGTTTTTGCTGCGATTTTTGAATGCTCGCAAGTTTAAAATTGAGGATAGTTTCAATTTGTTAGTAAATTACTATCTCTACCGGCAAAGATACCGCCACTTGTTTATCGGCCTCAACGTGCAGGACCCTCTCATCAGGCGGGCCCTTTTTGATGGAATACCTGGAGTGCTGCCGCAGGTACTGTTTTGTTTCGCAAACTGTTTTTGTCTTTGTGATCAGCACGTGTAAATAAGTTGCATAAAATTTGGCATTGAGTTTTTAATATTTACAAGTACTAATATTTGCATAACGCAAAGTTTAATTTGACTGTAATTATCAGGCTCTCTATTTTTTCGGAGTTTCATCGAAAAATATAATCAGAATTTTTTTTTCTAACCATAAAAAGTTTTAATTTTCGGCTCTTTTAATAAAGAAAATTTAATAAAATAATGTTGTAACTTTAGTGTGATAAGAGAGGACGGAGAGTATTGGTGATCTATGCCAACAACTGGGACATCGAGCAATATTCGTTGCTCACCATCTACAGAGGCCTTTTACTGTCTTTGGAAAAACTGATCCAAGACCAGCAAACCCAGATGGCCGGATTGATTGTGATTGTCGACTGGTCTGGATTTACACTTCGTCACACTGGTGCTCTTAGTCCCAAGGCTTTGAAACTGATGCTTGAGGGATTGCAGGTATTTAAGATTATTTAAGTTGAATAAAATTGAAATTACATTATCTTGCAACTTAGGATGCGTTCCCGGCCAGATTCAAAGCCATCCACATGATTGGCCAGCCTTGGTACTTGGAAGCTGCTTTGTCAGTGATCAAGCCATTTTTGAAGGAGAAAACTCGAAATAAGGTATCACAATTTAAGTATTAAATTAGATAATAAAAAAATCATGTTTCAGAATTAAAAAATTCTAAATTATAATGTAAATTATGTTTCAAGAAATTAAATTTAATCAACAGCAACTTAAAGAAAAAGCTTATCAATTTTGGGCTGGTTATTACAAATCGACTTGTAAAATCTTAAAATAATTTGGTTGAACACTAAAATTTTTAATTTTCAGATTTTTCTGCATGGTGCAAATCTAAGTAAACTCCACGAGTACGTTGACAAAGAACTTTTGCCAGCTGAACTCGGAGGTGAGGGCCCAGGATACCATGCTGGAAAATGGGCAGAAGAACTCATTGGCACCTCACTTGACCCTGCCCTTTTTATACAAGACGAGCAAGCTGCAGCTAAAGCATTCAAGTATTTACACAAATCGCAATCTCCTTAAAAGTTATAAATGAATTTTTTTACAGGAAATCACAAACTTTCTCTGGGACAATTCAAGAGGAGTCTTGCTAGTTTACTCATTGTCAGCACTAACTGTTCTCCGAAACAAACCCGATCAACCGAAACTTGAGAAGTTTTGCAGGAACATGAAAATCTCACCTCTTATTTATAAGTCTTTTTGAGTCTCTTCTTTCGAAACTGATTTTAATGTATATATTATTTTTAAACTTTGACTCTTGCACAGCATTAGGGTTTTATCTAAGTACTTATACATATTTTCATAAAGCACAAGTATGAATTTATTACTGTAGGAATTGCCTTTTTCTTGATGCACTAAATCTGTGATAAATCTGTTTTTTCAATATATAATGTACTTTTAACGGTACATCCAAAATCTGTGTTCTTACAAAAGCTTTAAATTTATCAAAATGCAATATGACTGCTTGTAAAATTCCACTATAATTCTTGAATCACATAAAGCTTTATTGCGATTGTAATCTGCACTAGTTTCTCATCTATTTACTTTAAATATACAATGCTATGCAAAAAAGGACTGACGTTGGAATGGTCATCTCGCATCAAATCTGTTTAGAATAATTGGCCTTGTTGTACTTTTAGAATATATCATGCATTTCAATTTCAGGCCTAAACATTTAAGAGAAAATTGAAATGTTCATAATGGCTGGCTTCCCAGTGATTTCGCCAAAAAATGTAGAACTATAACTGTAGTTTGTAGGCAAAGGAAAAATAAAATTTGAAAAAAAAATCAATTAATGGCAATGATTTATTTAAAGAACCTGCTCTCCGAAATATTTTTAAAAATACGTCAAGTAATTAGGACTTTTTCTTGTTTTATGTTGCACAGACAGGAAGGAGATAACCTTTTTGGCCCATAAAAATCACTTAATAGCTTGTCTGATCCGGCTCTTAAAAGATTGTGGGTCAATACACTCATATTAGCGAAGTATCGAATTAATGAAAATTGATTATTTGTTAACAAATAATTTTTTGCAAGGAATTTTTGGGTCCATGCACTGTGAGTTAGCCAGAAGATGCAGCAAAAATGCCTGTAATGTTCATTTATTTATAAAAAAAAAAAAAATAATTGATTTGTCCTTCAATAATTCATGTCAGTTAAACTGACAGAAAGGAAATTTAAAATTATTATTAAAATAGTTTTTTTCCAAAACATGAAATTTGTAAGATTAGACACTTCAGAAATCCTCTTAACAGGGGATTAAAAGTGCAGTTCAGCATGTTTCGGGTGAAGACAGGGTCACCATAAAATGTGATAAAAGAGTCAATGCTGGCAGTCACGTCAAGACGTTGCATCTGCAAGGATGCAGATCGTGGGTCTTTTTGTTGGCCTCTTGGGTAAGTCGTTTTAATATATTCACTTTTTCTCATTTAATTTATTTTGAATTAGAAACGGATTTATACGTACGAGGCAAAAGTTATAAAATCAACAATTGTGACAAATTTTTGGAGTGGAATTTTTTGGTCGCCTTTTAATTATCAGATCAGATTATTTAAAATGGGAATTTAAATAACAATAAATGCGAGAGAACTTTGCTCTGCAAATCTGCTTGAAATGCAAATTTAGAAACGGATGCCGCAACACGTTAGATGTGCTCTCGTGCAAGATGCAGAAGTGCTGCTGCACATTACTACTGTATCTGGGCAGAAATGCACTCGCCTCTTTTGAAATGAACTTGTACTGCTTTAATTATGATGATGCACTCAAAATTCCACATCTGTCTTGACCTTTGAACTTTTTTGCTATACTGTGTATTTGTGTAATTTAAATTTGCTACAATTTCCTTTTAATCTAGTTACATACGTGGTCACTTTTCAATCTAGAACCTTCAAATGTTAAAATATGCAAAAGACAATGATTTCGTTAAAAAGTATAAGTGTCAAAAACACATTTGGGGTTAAAATATTCAGTTTCATTTTCATAAAAATATGGCACTGGAAATTCCTTAAATTATGTATATTTGAAGAATTCTAGGATCTTAAGTATTAAGTTGAAAATAAGTTTTTTTATTTCAAAGGCGTAGAAACAAGCTTTATTGTCCTTGATTATTGACCTGAATAAAATAGATGATCAATTTGATTAATCTAACGTTTGTTTTCATGAAAAGCGGCTCTGGCTGTGGCAGAAAACGGTGAGAAAGAGTTTGATTTTCCGAGCCAGATTAAATAGGAAAACTAATCAAGCCAAATCTGTGTCAATTAGGATGGCGTGTCAAGCAGGAATATGTGTACGCGATCGAGGGCCGCAGCGTGGCGGGAATTCCTCAGCTTAAACATCAATACGCGGGCATGCATTTCCGAGGCAATCTCCGCATTCAGAATCAACACGCGGCTGTTGTTGTCATGAAAGTATTATTAAATATAAAAATTGATATTTTTTTATATATTAAATTCTTTAATTTTAAAGCTAAAAAACATGACTTTCACCAAAATTCACGCCAACATGGGAAAGGGTTGGTGGCATCCCATTCCCAACACTGAAGAAGAGCTCAGCAGGTTCCAAGAATTGCCTGATTCGGGAGAACCCTTCATAGCTCGATTTGAGCAGGGAAAAGTAAGATGAATTTGTCCAGCATAAATACAAATAAATAAATGTTCTGGCTTTGAGAGTATGCAACCTGCTTGACATTTCAGTTGAGCAGGTTGCTTGCTATGGAAGCGGCAGGCGTTCTTAGCTGGAATATTAAATTTAAAATTGCAGAATTTTTTTTTATCTTAAAAAAAACTCATTTTCCTAATTAATTTTTATAATAAGATTGTGAGGTTGGTCGTGAGCAGCAGAATGCCAACTTGGGAGGTCAATTTCATTCAGTCCATTATCTCCCACCTTCAGCAGAACTTGGGTGAGCAATCTGGAAGCAAGTTCAGAGCTAGCAAAAGTGATTTGCAAGCTGATGACAGTATGTTCAACGTGATGGAGGTAAATTTAAAATGACAAATTATTTAAATATTTATGAATAATTCAATTAAATAATGATGTTTAGGATTCCATTGTTGGCCGCTGTGAAGTGATGTACGAATTCAGTCCATTGGCCAAAACTCTTGTCAACAGAGACAATCCCCAGTGGTTTAAAATTTGCGGCAAAACAAGGGAATTTGTCGAGGTGACCAAAACTTGGAACTACACAAATTGCGAGCACCTGGCCCAATCAAATTACGGCGTGCCTAACATAAAAAATTGCGTCCCTGGTGGAAATCAGTGCGGAAATCTTTGGAAAGTAATTCAAAATTTAATTTAAAAATATGTATAAAATCAAAATAAAATTTAGCGCTCGTCTTTGACAAGGGTGGTCGGTTGTGGTGACAAACGTGACATGATTCGTTTAAACACCGTGTCCAGCTCGAAGATTTTGTCTTCGCTCAGACTTCAGCCCGAGGACGACGATAAATCTCGCCCGAACAGTCAAGCCACTGTCGGCTCCTATCTGAACTTGACCTTAGTGTCCGTGCAGCCCTACTCTGTGGACAAACGAATTCTACCTCCTAAGAACCCTGTCGCGTTGGAAGGCATTAAATACCAGTATGATTTTGATTTTGCTGCAGATGACCAGGTTAGTAGAATTTTTTATTTTTAAATTTTAAAAGAAAAAAAATACTGAATAAATTAATTTAGCAGCCGAATCCGAGGAAAACTCGTTCTATCAAGCGCAAGAAGAAGCACCCGAGCCGTCCTGCGGAGGACACCACCGATTCCCAAGAGGACGATCAGGACAAAAACAGCGAACCATCGAGCAACAAATCTGAGGAAAAACAGCAGAAAAAGAAAGGAAAAGATTCAAAGAAGAAAACTACCACAACTACCGAATCGCCGGAGAGTCAGAGTCTTGAATGGAGCACTTTCAGAACACCCACTTCTGAAGAATCGACGGAGGATGTTCAAAAAAAGTCTAAAAAATCCAAGAGACCCAAGGTAAATGACTAAATTATTTTCTTTTTGAAAAATTATTTGCTAAATGTTTTGTAAATTAGCATGATTCCAGCTCTAGCGATGAGAACAATGATGACAACGACGAAAACTCAAACATGGATCAACCCCCAGTTCTACCCTTTTCACCCTTCGCTGTCGCTCACCAGGACGACAAGGCGCGCGCCTGTTTGGTACAGCAGTTCAAGGAAGTGGTCCAGGAGGTCACAAGAGCTCTTGGACCCCAATCCTCCGAGTTGGAGAATATTGAGAACATTCAATTGACCGTCCAGATGTGCCGCAGTATGACTTACACCGATTTGAGCACGGCCGTTAACACGGTCATTGAGGACAGGAGCGACAAGATCGCGCTTGAGACCAAAAGGTGAAAACGTTTTTTTTTTCTTACTTCAAAAAATAAAATTATAAATTAGGAAAATTCTCCGAGACATTGTTCTCATGTGTGGAACAAACCCGTCATTCCTCTTGATCAAAAATTGGATCGAAACCGGAGTGTACACGGGCGAGGAGGCTGCACAAATTATTGCGGCTATTCCCTCGTATCTTCTGAAGCCGAGCCCAAAATTGCTGCAGAAATTCTTTGAAATGATCCGCAGTGATCTTGGTTCGCATGAGGAAAAGGTCAAAATTGCAGCTGTTATCGCCTTCTCGCATCTTCTAAGAGCCACGTGTACCCAACAACAAAACAAGGTTTGATATTCATGAATAAAACTTTCTTATTTTAAATAAAATGTTGGCAGATAACTTTTTTCAACAAACACAAAAAACATTTTAATATTGAAATATTTTTTAATATAAATTAATGTTTAATAAATTGAAAAAAATTCAAAGCTTTCCCACGACTCCATGTGCAAGCCACAAGTTTCAACCTATCTGAGTTTCCTCAACGAAAAGGCGAAAACTGCCAAAAACCTAAAAACCGTTTACATTACTGCTATTGGAAACACTGGATTGCCGGAGGCTCTTCAACTTCTTGCCTCCTTTGCCAGAGACATCAAAGCGTCAACCTACCAGAGAGCTACCGCAATCGTCGCAATGAGACACTTGTCTGCCACTAACCCTCAGGTGCAAGGATAAGTTTTAACCAAAAAGCTATTTAAATCAATTGAATTTTTTTAATAGGAAACGAGCAGGGCACTTTTGAAAATTTTCCACACGACCACCAACCCCAACAGCGTTCGTGTTGCCGCCGTCTCTATGTTGCTCTACTCGCAAATTCCTCTCAGCACTTGGCAGAGAATCGCGATCAGCACCTGGTACGATCCCAGCATGTCTGTGAATACTTACATCTACAGTTCCCTGCGAAGCATTGCAACGATTAAGGACCCAGTGTACAAAACTATGTTTGTAAAATATTTATTTATTTTTCTTTTAATTTTGATGTGTTTAAAAACTGTAGGGCTGAAAACGCCGCAGCTGTTTTGCCCCTGGCTAAGACGATCCCACTTGGCCCCTACCGCCCTTACAACTTTATTCGCGCCTCTGTCGCTAAAGATTTGACTGAGATTGTTTCCGAGCAACTCAGCTGGAATCTGGATCCTATGGCGTCAAACTTTTACTACAGAGATATTTACAGAATTTCTGGAGTTTCAAAACTGCACTTTGAGGTGGTTTTTATTAAATTTTTTCAATAATTTTCATTAATTGATAAAAATTTTAGTCTGATTTATGGCTGGCCGATTTAGACGGGATGCTGACCCTGATCAAAAAACATTTGTACCAAGAAAAGAAAGATTATTCGGACGTCCGCCCAGCAATTCCCAATCTGCCCACTTCGACTCATTGGATTCGGTCGGCTCTCAATATTGCTGAAAGAACTCTGCCTAAAATTGAGGGCCACTTTTCTTTCAAATTGGGAAGTGTGCACCAGCGTTTCTTCCCTATTGACGATAAAAGCGCAGGCCAAATACTAGACGGTATGGATAATAATTTCACATTTTTTAATTGCATTTTTTTTTATAATTAAAAATTAGCTGCTAAGAAATACATCGACGAATACAAATTTGGCCAAGAAATGTTGTACCAGAAAAATGGGCACAGCACTTTTTGGATTTCAACGGTGACTGAAATTGGATTCCCCGCCGAGTTTAAAATTGATATTCCCTGGATGCTCCGCGTCAAGAGTCTCACCAATTCGTACCAAAGTCGAGGAGTTTTCGCCACTCAGATTAAGGCGATGTAAGAAATATAGGAAAAATTATCAATGATAAACTGAAGTAATTAAAAATTTCAACAGTTTCTCTACTAAAATGAGCTCCGAGCTAAGCGTTTTCACTCCCAACAACGCCATTCGCTATGTGGCAGGCACCACTTCATTCACCACCGTTCAAATTCCTGAAATGAACGTGGCCATTCAAAAACTGCCCGGCCTTAGAATGAATATCAGTCTGGTTCCAATGTACCCTGAGCCAGAAGCGTTGCTCTTCGCCCAAAAGTCGACTCCGTATACCGCCCAACAGGATATGCTCAATCTTGCCCCTTTCAGCTCCATTCATGGATTGGCTAAGATCGAAATTGCTCCCGAGTTGAAGGTTAATTTTTTAATTTTAATCAAAGAAGTATATATAATTTTGTAATTTTTAGAGCAAACCTGTGGCCGGAAACACCGACAGCTTCAGGCTCGAGTACTCGAGCGAGGCTCCTAATCACAGATGGGCCCCCGAGCCCCACTGGTTCTTGAGTTACCCTTCCCTGTGGCGCGGGCTCGAATCTTCGGAGCTGAAGATTTGGGCGAATAGACCCTCACCAGTCTCGGCTGTATTTTCGATGCGTAAAATTTTTTGTTAAAAATAGATCTCATTTTTAATTTTATTTTTTAAATTAAGGTCAAGCTAAATTGGAAAATGGTGAAATCACTTTCCTCAACTCAACTATTGGCAAACCTTCTCGCTCCCGCACAACTGAACCTACCTCCACCGAGGCCGCTCCAACCACCGAATACATGACCACCCCTAGCACTGTATACACAACCAGCACCAGTTGGTCAAACAGCACTACCACCGAAGCCAATCTGTCTGAATCTGACGAGCAGATGCAGCCTGAAAATTACACAAAAATGGAAAGGCTGGACAGGATTAAACTACGAATCTTGTCAGCCAATGTTGATGACCCCATTGGAAGTTTCAATGCCTCCCAAATCAATTTGTTCCAGCAAGGGAACTTCTCGACTAGGCAAGAATACTTGCTGACCAATATCTTGAGCGCCATGGAGAGTAAGTTGAATAAAATGAGACAATTAATTCATAGAAATGAAGAGAACGGGCTTTTCCTCGTTGCGAAAATTGTTTTTATTTTAACGGAGCCTTTATTTTTAAAAAGAAATTGTTCAATTTTTGAAACGAGGAAAAGTCCCATCTCTTCTTTCCAATTAATTCAAAAATAAAATAAAAATGTATTAGGCAAGTTTAAATCTCAATTTAATGCTCCGTTTTATGATAATTTTATTTCATAATTAAGTCGCTTGCGCGATATGATCACACTTTAAAACACGACGGTGACGGTACTTTAAAAAATGAGACGTGGCAATAAAACAAAGCCATTATCTACCCTCTAGGTGGTCAGGCGACCGTCTTTAGTGCCTCGTTCGCAGTAAATCACTCCGATGTGCCACAGTACCAGACTTTCTTTACTGTGGGTCATGGCCGCGCACAAGAATATCACCGCATGGGTGCGTTCTATATCGACGACGTTGAAAAATATCAAGTAATTATTGCACAAATAAACAAATAAAAGGATGATTTAATCATTTTCCGCACAGGCAGCTATTTCTGGCGTTCTTTCCACACCCAGGGTGCCCCTTTTGAAACTGAAAAGCATGCTTGAGGCAAAAATCAACTCCACCGTGATGGCCGATTTAAGAATCAACAACGACAACAATATTGACGACATTATTTCCTTGAAGGTATTAAAATTTTTAAAAATTTAAATAAAATTTAAAAGATTAATTTTTCAAAATAGGGTATCGTTACTCGAACCGAAGACCAGAAAAATTACATTTACAACCACACCAACAGCCGCGAGTGCCTCAAGTCTGGCTCTCTGGTTCAACCCGAGTGCTACCGCCTGTTGCAAAAGGCCGCTTTCCTCGACCGATATAATCTTTCGATTTCCTACAACGAAGGGGTAAAAAAAATGAAAATGAGGTATCATGTAAAAATTAATATTTTACGTAAAAGGCAAGAAGACACGGTTTGTCGGCCCAGCATTATCTGACCCTCGCCAAGCACATTCTCTTCCCGCACATGTTGGGCGAGGAATATTCGCCCGACGTCATTTTGGCCGACGCCGCCGAGAAGCAAATCAAGGTAATCGCCGAGGTGCACCCCGAGTCGCAATCGGCGTCTCTCTGGATGCGAACTCCCACCGAAGAAATCGAGTACAACAGCATTCCTATCAACTCTCTACTCCATCACACCATGAGAATTAACCCTGTGATGGGCCTTGCTTCAAGACTCCAAGATGCATGTAGGTTTTTTTTTAAATTTATGTATTTTTTAATTTAATTATTACAATAATGTTATTTTATTTTATTACGATTTCTTTATTTAAATATAATGATTTATACTTTGGTCTAATTACACTACAATTTCAAACAACATTAAATTGTTAATATAGTTTTAATTAAAAATTTTAATGTGCTTCTTAGCCTACTGCAGTATGGAGCAGAGGAAGTTTGTCACCTACGACAGGTCAAGGTTTGACTACAAACTGACCAACAGTTGGCATGTATTGACCAAGGATTGCTCTGGCCGCTCGAGATTTGCTATGATCGCTCGCAATATCACAAACCACACTGTAAATTCATAATTTTACTCTCATCAGCCTAAACGTCTCTTAATTTCAGGAGCTCCTTGTGAACGTTGACAACTACAAAATAATCCACTTTATGCCTGGCTCGGTCTTGGTCGACGGAATCAGGGTTGATTTGAACAAGGCCCAAGTGGCTGAAAATTACGATCTGGCTGGAAATCAAATCGTCGAACTCACTTACACCAGCGAGAGGGCTTTCAAACTGCGCCTCCCTGCCCACGGCCTCACTGTTATCTACGACCCCTCTGCCATTCTTATCCAGGTAGAAATTTTAAATCATATTAAATACATTTTTAAATTGACACCTAAATTCAACAGCCCTCTGCTCTCCTCCGTGGCCGTCTTTGTGGAATTTGCGGAAACTACAACGGACAGATGGAGGACGATTTCAGCGTCCCAAGTGGCGCGATCAAGCAGGACGCAAACGATTTTGCTAAATCGTGGGCGCTGCAGCTCCGTTGAGTGCCACCAAACTTACACGGAAACATCGCCTATCTTCCGCCTCTGATTTTAATCCAAATTGCTCCAAAAATAGAGCATTGATTATTGTTTTCTACCTCTTTATTGTAGATGATTAGATGATATTTTTAAATGAAATTTAAAATTTAGAAAGTAAGCATTAAAAAATTTGTTTTGTTTTCTTCAAATTTTAAACTGTTTGCACTAGATTTTGCCATTTGAATTTTATTGTTCATAAATATTTTAATAAATCCCTGCATGTTTTTAAAATATTATATGATCGTTAAATAGTGTGTGGAGAAAATGATTCAGAATTATAAACGTTTTCCAAAAGTGTTGTTACTTATTGTGCTAATAAAATTAAAATGTGTTACTTCTTTTTTGAATTAAATTAAACAACTTTTCTAAAATTAAAAAATTAAGAATGAAATTAATATTTATTTCTCTACGCGAGGATATCTGTCAAATTTTGTGTTTTTGACTGAAATTGGTCACTGAATATAGGCGGTGTTCTCTGTTTACTGATAAGAACTAACAATAAATGTGGGTTGAATTCTCAAGTGTTTTCTTGCTTTGAATTTTTCTCCCGGTAAATAAATTACATGTTAAAATTAAAAGGTTTTACAGAATTCGTTTACGTGCCGCACCACTGTAATCTGATTTTTTGTCTGCATTTATATACAAAAAAAAGTGTAAATCTTAATCGCCACTGGTGCCCTATCAGATCAAGACCACTTGCCCAGTGACCTGCTTCTCAAGTGCCCTAATTCCAGCACGGTTCAAGAGCGCCAACTGGAAGATCATAATCAGTTGGAGACATGCGGCTTAGAGGAAATTTCTCAATTGCAAGAAGTGTGTTGATTAAACTCTGTGGTGGAGATGTTGCAGTTCGCAAACGTAGCTATCATCGTAGCTGTTTTGGTGGCGCATTTCAGGGCTCACGTGCGCATGAATTATGCATGCGCCACTTGGCGGCACAATAATTTAAGCGAGATAATGTATGGGGGAACTCGAGTTCTTATCTCTTGTCGGTTGTTGTACTTTAAGCTCTGCAGAAATATTCAAATCCAAATATAAAAAGGTAATAAAACTAAACTTACTAGAAAAATATTTAATTTAAAATTTTTTTTTAATTTAAAAAAAAAATATATTGGCATATTTTCAATTAAATCGTTTATTGTTTTAAAACAATTGAGAAATGTGGGATGAAATTTATTCCAGATGTTTATTGTTAAAAAATTATTCATTTTATCATTATAAGAATTTAATTTTTATTTCCTTCTAATTGAAATTTTTTTGTACTTTTGTTATATCTGTTCTGTGTTTTCCTTATCTTTAAATTAACTTTTGTTTAGAGTAAACAACCCAAAGTTTATCTCCCACGATATTTCAAGTCTATGCTGAGAATGTGTTTGTATTGTGCAGCATGTTTTTGTTCTGCACGCAGATCGATATTTCAATCGGGAAAAGCAGCATGTCAGCTCCATTGGCGAGAGGTAATAAAGTATCTCGCGGAGACTTTTGGTCAGTTTGCCAAGGACTAAGGTCAACGACTAGCATATTCAAATTAGCCGTTCGTGCCGACGAGTGCGAGCGAACGGAGAAAGAACCACGGAGAGCGTTCACCCTTACCAAGTCTGCGATACATATTATTTGAGTTGTGAATTCTCGAGCGCCCCTCGTCGCCTGACTGTTTCTATAAGGTTTTTTTGCGAGAGAGCTTTGGTCAGCAGCAAGGTCATTAATTTTCTAAACCCTTTATTACTTGACAAAAGAAAATGCAAATTTAAAAGGTCAAGATTAAGTCATGACATGAAATTTCAAAAGGTGAAGGTGAAAATTTTTAAATATATTTTTTAATATTTTTATTAAGTATTTTTAGAGCCAGAAATTTTTACAATTTGAAAATTTATTAGATTTTCTTAAAAGCAATCCGCATATTTTGTTTTAAGAAAATTAGTTAAATTGTGCTTTTTCTTTTAAATGAAACAACCAAATCAAAAGTTTCTTTTATAATTTTTTTTTACAAAATTTAGCTTTGAAAAAAAATAATTTCACAATTAAAGTTTTTCCCTTTCTGTTAAACTACGCCCTGACACAGATTAACAACTCTGCCTGGCTTCGATAAAAAACTGAACACGTGCTGTGCACATCAAATGCATCGCGTTCAGTAAAACTCAGTCAGCACTAATTGCAGCCACATCAACCAACATAATTGCAACTGTCACGTTTCCGTGCGAAAAGCCTATAGCACCACCCTATGCTGTTCTGCGGGTTGCATAGCCGACCGATTCGCAGGCGCCCCGAAGTAAGGAGAGTGAGCTCGCGTTTCCTTAATGAGAACTGAGCGTGTGTTACCTACTTTCTTGCAATGCGCCTCCAACCGACACCCTCATGACGCCGTCGATCACGGCGATAATTTCATTTCGAAAACAGCACCGACACTCATTGCCCCTCGGACATATAAAAACTTCTAGGAATATCAGATGAGTCGCCCAATGAGAGCCAAGGTTGGGAAACGAATAAATGTGACTCGAGGTGACCTAACTGCGCGATAATGAATAATGCATTTGTCTTGATGATTTGTATATTTTGATCAGTAAAAACGTCATTTTTTCACCATTCACTATTTTTTCTAATTAATTTAATAAGCACCTACAAGTTGATAATACGTCGATACTTTTACAAGTTTGAAGTTAATTTTTTTACCAGATTTTTGTTTCATAAAAATATCCTCTTTTTGTGTGAAGTTTCATTTTATTGCTAGACTTGATATATTTTTCATTGATTTTATCCATTCTTAATTAATTGATTGAAAATAACCCAGTTAAACGATGGCGTTCATCGTCGAACGACAGATTAGCCCACCTCTGGAAGATAGGAATGTCAAGGTGGAATTGTCACGAGCGGCGGCTCTTGACTCAATTCCACGCGAAGAGCCAAATACATCTGATCGAAATTGTGACGTGTGCAATTCAAACGGTAAAATTCATCCCCAGGAGGCGTTTGCTTTTCCAATACTAAGTAGGGGCGATAACGTTTAAGAGTGCCGACCCAACCAAATGTGAATTATAAATAATAAAACGGCTAAAGAGACGTGCCATCTGCAGTATGACGGCGTGTTTAAAGTTTCCACGATATCTTGGTCGATATGTATTTGCTTTTGGGGTTGTTTGAGTTTTGCATTGGGAAACGATTCTCTGAATTACTACAACGGAAAGTCAATTATGAGAGAAAATTCTTATTTAAATTTGTTATTTACAAAATTTTATAATATAAAAGCCCTATCAAAATTGTCAGCAAAATTTCGCCTGGTTTGAAAATTTCAGAAGATTGTAATTAAAAATACAGTTGTCAATATTTTAATACTTTTCATTAAAAGAAGAAAAATTATAAAAAATATTTTTAATAAATTTAATTTAAAATATATTGATAAATATTTTTTTTATTTTTTACTACAGATATAATTATAACAAGGTATTTTGTGGAACTTATAAGTTGCTAAATTAACTTTGGATATGTTTGTTATAATATACTTTTATACAAGTTTGTATCGGAATTTTTGAGAATCCCAATTGCAATAGTGTTCAAGCAGGGAATTTGGCCTTTTTTTAAAGTTATTGAAAATATGGGAAACATGCTTCAAATTATAATTATTTACCAAAATAATATATATTTCTTACATTTTATAGTTTAGCCAATGTATTACGTATCATTATTTTTTCCATCAGTCATCAGTTGAATCTTAAATTAAATTCGCGTTTAAACTGTCTTCTCCTCTTACCCATGAGTTTCTGTCTAGTATTTTGGTCCAAATTTTAATCTACAATTTGGGAAAATTTCCAGGTGCCTCGATAAAAATACTTAAAATAATTGCTTCTACAATCCGGCACTCTCCAAAGGTGTTTGCAATCTTTTTTAAATAATAACTTATTATATAAAAAAATTGAGCCTTTAATAACTTCTTATGTAAAAAATTGAGCCTTTCAGAAACAACTCATTTTTTTGTGCAAATTTTTCCATAGCATTTATACCCACAACCCATCCGTTTGCACCAATGTTTCCGTGACAAAGCCGGCGGTCGGAGAAACCCGCGTGCTACATTTGGGTCTGCAGTCACGCGGCGGATTGCACGGAGAGGGATGAGAAAGAGAGCGCTGGCCAGAGGGTTTGGCTGCCCTTGTTTCCATGGAGTTGAAAGCCTCCCCTCTAAAACAAAAGTCTGGCAAGAAGCTCGCTCGGCTCCTCGAGTCAGTCACGATGCTGGCGCCAACCCTTGTGCTGGTCTTGCTCGGGGTGGGTTTGGGGGCTCGGCCACGCGAGCCCCCCGTCGTCGCCGTGCCGGGGCAGGGGCCCGTGGCGGGGGTCGAGGTGGCGATTTCGCGCTCGCAGAAGGGCTCCCTCTACCTGGCCATCCCGTTTGCCCAACCACCCTTGGAGGACCTCCGCTTTGCACCTCCGCAGACCGACCCTTTGCCGACGTGGACGGAAAAAAGGACCCCCACCGGACCGGCCCCTGCCTGCCCCCAGACGGGAGAGGTCGAGTACGAGAAATTGGCCACCTCGCTCTTCGGAGCGCCAATTGCTGACCAGAGCGAGGACTGTCTGTACCTGAACGTCCTAGTGCCAGATGGTATTTTTTTTCTGAATGATTTGCTAATTTTCTTTAAATTTCAGTTTATCTCAATTTAATACAAATTTTGTTAAATGTGTTTTGCAATATATATGCATTATTTCAAAGAAAAGAAAAATATTCCAATCGAACGAGTAATTTTGAGAAATTTTTCATTTAACATAATGAGCAAGTGTATTTACTTACTTTTGTGATTTTATTGATATTGAAGACACTGAAACAGTTTTTATTAAATTTTTCATTATCAAAAATTTCTATAAAGCTTGATTTTCTTTACATTTAAAAACAAAAATTATGCTCTCATAAGCTAGCTCAAACAGTGTAATTTTTTATCATTTTTTAATATGCTCGTGCCAATCGTTATCTAAATTTCACAGATGAAATTAAAATATTTTTTGCCATATTTTTAGGCCTTCATTAAAGTTATCAATTATTGCCTAAGCAGTTTTTAAAATTTTCGGTAAAAATTTGCATAATTATGTAAAACACCTAATCCGCTGGTATAAGAAACTTGTTACGGTTTCACTACCTCCCATTGATGTTATTTTTAGTGTCTGGATGACTTTTGTTAGGCACTATGCGTGCTGTATTTGAGGCCGAGTTCAGCAGGCGATTCACCCTTGGGCACTAAAACAAGACTCTTCCGACTTCTTTTATTGCACAACTGCTTGCTGCCTGATTCAAATATCAATAATAGCAACTTATTTTTATCACACTTTTCAAATTTTTAGAATCTTTCAATATTTATTTGAATAAAATTATATCGAACCTTAAGTTAATTCCTTTTGGTCACATTGATTTATTTAAATTTTTTCAAATCTCAAACAATTTTGATTTGCATTAATTCATTTACGTTTGGATTTTTAAAAAAATCTGGTAATTTAAGCAAGAAAATGCAAATTGATTCTAGGAAATCCGCCAGGTGATGGATGGCCCGTAATGGTTTGGTTCCACCCCGGAATGTTTCAGGCCGGATTCGCCACACAGTGGGACGCTTCAGCTATGGCCATCAAGCACAAGGTTTGGATTTTTATTTTGTATCTAGGCCAAACTTTCTGGTTTAAATTTAAAAAGTAATTATTCCCTTGCAAAATGGAATCACCCTGTTTGTGAGGCCAAAATTAGCCCTTTGAGTGGAATGTAAATGTGGCGCGGAGTAGCAGTTCCGTTTCATTTTTATATTCTCTTCCCAAAAGCCGATGAATAATTCATCCCCAATGAAACTCGTCCGATATACATTCGAATGTAATTTTTCTTCCCTGAATATTTTCATGCCTCCAAGGACACGCCATTTTTTATTTATATTTTTCACTTGGAAATTCAAGGCGAAAAATGCCATAAAAATTAGACATGCGTTGTTTTCGTCAGCAGGCCGTTAAATATTAAAAACAAAGCTGTCGTTGTTCTCCTGGCCACTTTCTTTCTTTCTTTCCTCCTCTGTTTTTTTCTGTTGGCACACACACCACACACACGAGCCAAATGGTCTTGCGTGACTGGTGCGTGCAAAGATCTGTGATAAGCGCGCTGAGACTTTGCATATTCTCGGGGGTCGGAAAAATTTGTGTTATTACATAATACACGCCGCCCCGTTCTCATTCACAGTAAATGGGTATCACGCGCGCGTGGCACTGCACTATAATAATAGAGAAAAATGGAATCTCTCACATATAAAAAGTTGTAATAAAAAAATGCATCTACAGCGTGATCTCAGTTTTGGCTCAGCAAGGCCATAACATATTTTTTTTGCGAAATAACCTGAGGATTATTTAAAGTTCTGTTAAAATTTATTTATTCTCAGTCGATTAGCTTAATATAAAAAAAAATATTCTTAAGCATTTACAGTTAATCAGTTTTGGGTTGAATTAAATAATATTTGATTTAAATTTTAAAACCAATTAAAATAAAATAAAATTGCCTCCATAATTTTATCCCTAAGTATGAAGTATTTACAATAATTCTAATTCTATCTTTTCGAAAGTTGAAAAATAAAAAAGAAAATAATAAATAAACATTGTCAAAATGTATCTTACCTTTCGTTGATGTCCCCTTGGTGATCTCCCTCCTCTTCCTCCCTCCACGTACACGTCATAATTCATAATTTTAATGCTTGTGCTGCGCTTGAGGTGGTGAGAAAGAGAAGACTGAAGTGGTTGGAATTTTCTCCTTGATTTTGCAGATGATCGTGGTGACCGCGGCGTACCGGCTGAACATCCTCGGTTTCCTCACCACCCTGGACTCGAACTGTCCCGGCAACTTCGGTCTGCACGACCAGGTCGCCGCCCTGGACTGGGTGAACGGCAAAATCTCGGCGTTCGGCGGCTCCGTCAACAACATCACCATCATGGGCTACGGGTCTGGTGGTGTTAGCGTCGGCCTCCACCTGATGTCACCGTTGTCTGAGGGCAAATTCCAGAAGGCGATCGCGATGAGCGGGAACGCCCTCGTGCCCTGGGCCGTCAAGAAGTACGAGACGGAGAAAATGAAGCTGCCCATGGTGGCCGAGAGCTACGGATGTCCCAAGTCGACCGCCACCAACTCGGCCAAGTTGCTCGAGTGTCTGCGAAAGATCGACGCCACGACCCTGGCCAAAACAGCCTCGGAAATTGGAATGTGGGGACCCGTGGTATGAATGGAAATCCATATTTTTTTTCTAGCTCAATTTTAAGTTTTTTTTATACATAGCATTCAATACATAACTTTTGTATATATTTATGTTGGAAAAAATATAAGATAATGTCTTTATATTTTAAATTTTTAATTTTCTAATATTGAAAATTTTAAAATTAGTTTTTTTATAAATATGTAAATATAAAAAAATTGGATTTTTCTGCATCTGCATGTACATTAAATATTTATCAGTCATAAGATTTCTATTAAATTTTTCTGCAACAATTAAAAAAAAATTTGTATCAATTGAAATAATTTTTTCTTGCAAAATCTTCTCTTTTTAATTATCCTTTTTTTTACTTTTTTAGAAAAAAAAATTAGAATTTATTTTCAATCAATCCATATTTTTATTGAAAGTGAATGATTTATTTCTTCTAATTTTTCCCATACAAATTTCTGTTATAGGTTGATGGTCCGTTTGCAAACACCAGTTTCCTTCCGCACTACCCTGTAGACATGCTGAGGGAAAACAAGGCCAAGACCATGGTGCCTCTGATGCTGGGCTACACGAATATGGAGGAGGCAATGGTCTTTGCCGCCATGAACATGGACAAGGGGCTTGACCGGGGTCAGTTTGAGGCCACCATGCTCGAGCACATCTCCTCCGAACTCAACGACGCCAACATGACCTGCACCAACGAGCAGTCCATCCTGGACTCTGTACTTTTCTACTACAGTCCGCAGCCGATGGGCGACGACTCGATGGCCTTGAGGCAGCGGCTGATGGACTACGCCGTGGAGAAGAAATATGCCTCTGGAGCTTATTTGCAAGCAGTTAGTTTCAACATAATTTTCCCCAAAAAATATATTATTTCCAAAAGAAAAATTATAAGTAATTAAATTAACATACTAAAATTGTAAATTCAAAATATAGTGCAGACAAATTTAAAATTTCGGCTTTCAAAAAATATTATTTAAAGCAACTGTTTAAGATTTAAAGTTTAATTTTCTAAGACACATGTACAATTTAAAGTCAAAATATAATTAAATCAAAATTTTTGTTCTAGCATTATATTAAACTGTCTCATTTCTTTTTCAAAATTTTGATCAACATTAATTTTTATTTTATGTAATTTGGTTTTGTTTTTTCATAATTGAAACTGACTCTTTTTAAAATATCTATAATAAATTATTTTCAGGTCCACAACAGTAGACACAGCCCGACCTATTTATACCGTTTCGACTACAAGATGAAAACCAACCTGGTGGACGCCGTCCCTGACTGGGCAGACGTGCCTCACCTCTTCGACCTTCCCTTTGTCTGGGGCATGCCCTACTGGCCACCTGCCGTCACACAGCAGAAAATTGTTTGGAACAGTGCAGACAAGAAGATCACCGATGTCATCATGACTCTGTGGGCCAATTTTGTCCGGACGGCCAACCCTGTTCACGCGGGGGTGGTGGTCAAGTGGGAGGCCTTTGCGGAGGACAGTCCAAGCATCCTGCTGGTGGACACCAAGTTCAATATCAGCGACGCCAACAACTTCGACTACCGTTCCTTTTCCTTCTGGAACGACTACTACCCTAAAGTGATGGAACACGCCTCGTCCTGCTGCAACATCAGCAGTTCAGCCGTTCCCGTCGGACATCAATGGACGCCATTTGTCCATGGTGCCAATCGGCTGTGGACTGTCGGACCTCTGGCAACCACCCTTCTCGCCGCCAAGTATTTGCCAACCTGATTATGAGAGTAAGTACAAATCGGTGGTGGTGCGCTGCTTGTGGGCAATTTTATCACAAAAACTAAAATAAAATTTAGGGTGAATGTGTGAATGAAAATATAAAACAATAACTGAAAATGTGGAGGTGCTTCAGGAAGGAGCAACATCTCATCCAATCTCATCAGGTTTAAAACAGACAAGATCTATATACGTGAAAAAATCATGTTATTCAAATATAAAAAGTTGCTTGCGTTTTTTTTTTTTTTAATTTTTAATTTTTGACTTTATTTTTTATTTAAATATTAAAAATTATTAGTTTAATTTTCATCAATTTTCAAATATGATCTAGATGTTTTTAAATGTGAGTAAACCTACTGTACACTTTTTTTTAAATTCAATCGAACATGCCACTTGACATTTATATACACAAACTAAGGGTCCAGGTATGCTAATTTTTATTAGAATTGAAATAAAAATGAATGAATCGTAAAAGTGTAAAATAGCCAATATTTCACTAGTTGAAATTGGAGGTGTCTTCAAGAAATTTGTACATAAGAAATGATAATCAAATATTAATGCACTACATGAAATTGGGAGAAACTGAATTTTAAATTTTATCGGCGCACTAATTTATATGAATTGTCGCAATCATGCTCAAATAATTAGTTCATTGATGGTGCTTCGATAATTTATAACAATATTAATGTTGACCTTTATGAAGTTTGGATAGCAGCAAATAAAAATCAATAAGGTGCAACTCTAACATCAACATTTCAATAGTTTATTTCTCTCTAGTATTTCGTTTGCTCTCCACAGGTTTATTTCAATCAATCACAATACGCTTAAATTTTTTACAGTTTTCACGTTATTTGTCAATAAAACATCCATATATTTATTCCGCGCAATGCTGAGATAGTTATCATAAAGCTGTACATTTTTTCATTACAATGCTGAGTGACAATGTAATAATTAAAAATTTTGATTCTCTGAAGGTTAATCATATATTAAAATCGGTGAAGTATATTATAAATAATTGCTAAAAACAAAAAATTGTGTGTACTTTGTGGCAAGTTACAATGGTAAATAATTTTTATTTTGGTGGGATTAAAAGTATACTCTGGTGTATGGAGGGACAAAAAGAAAGTTAAATAGGCGTCAGTCTTGCAATTAGAAAAATCTTTACCAAAACGAAAATTAATCAACTAAAAGGCGTCTTTGATATTCTGGAGCTGCCTCACAGCCAGGTCAACGGGCAAGTCAAAATTGAGCTCGCCTAGTTTTTCCAGACAATGGAAACTGTCCTCGAAACCAGTTTTCACCACATAACTCCATGGCTGATAATATCCTTCTAAAATCGGTTGGTAGCGGAAAATCATGCGTAGCCATGGGACAAGTTTGCGAGCACTGAAAAAATTATAATATTAAAATCAATATAAAATTTATTATTTCTTTTAAAATAAAAATAAAACTTACTTTAAAGCTGCGCAAACGAGCGCCTTGAAATGCGAATCGTAGCTCCTTTTGTACTTTGTGTGAGAGGAAATGATGCTCCCTATCGCACCCAAAAGACTCTGAAAATTTATTTTAAATGTTTAAAATTCAAATTATCCGACTGAAAATTTTCACTCACCTCTTTGTTGGAAGTAGAGGAATTCCCTGAAAGGTCAAGATTGAAGCTCTGAGACAATTTTCTGGCCGGTGTCGAATTAAAGGTCTCTCCGTTTTTCAACTCGTAGTATTTCAAAATCAACTCCCAGGCGTGCATCATTTTTCCAGCCGAGTGACTGCGTTGCGGGAAGCACCCAATGAACGGAACCAAACTGACGCTTTGACCAATCTGCAAAACCATTCGTTTGTGATACATTGCTTGAAAATTATTCTTTGTTTGCTCACCGGCATCAGTCCGTGTTGGATTAAATCGCGCAAACTGATCGCCAACTCTTTTCGAACGGCAGTGGTCAATTCCTCGTTGCACATGACGACAGGCGCGTCCTCCGTGTCCGAAGTGTAGTCGCTCTCCAAGGGAAAGGAGTCATGTCCAGACGCTAGCAGCAATATGTGTCCCACTGCCATCTCCAGCCGGGCTCTCATGTCACTGATTCGGAATAGAATTCATATAATTAAAAATTTTACATACAGACTGCAAATATTAAGAAAAAAATTTATGAAAAATCTAAAGCGGTTTCAATTAATTTAAATTTTTTAATTAATTTAAAATATTCAATATAAAACTACTCATATTTTTTACTCTTTTGTGGTATTTTAAAATTCAATTCTCTTACCCCCAATGATTTGCCTTTGTGGTTTTTTTAAGACTGTTTTTCCTGAATGCGGCTTCGCTTCCGCAACCAAACTGAGTCACCGCAAACATTTGCAGCAGGTCGGACATTTTTTTCATTATGTTGATCGTCTTTTCTCTCATCTGATGTAGAAAATTTGGGCATTAATATGTAAATGGTTTTATTGTTTAAAATATTCTTACTTCGTCTTCACTGGAAGGGAAGTCGGTACTGATTTTGGGAAATTTCCCTGGGAAAGAAGCTTTCTTATTTTTTTCGGAAGAGTTGGTCAGAGTTGGCTTGATATTTTTTGCGCATTTGCACGGACAATCCTTCTTTGCACCTTTAAAAGCAGGCGCCTCTCCTATATAACAGTTTCAATTTTATCTTTTTATAGAAAAAATTGCATAACTCACCTTGAAGAAAATCAATAAACCGCTCCAAGTCGACGATTTGCGTCTTAAGTTGAGCTACCAGCGTTTCTTTCATTTTCAGCGGACTGACCAACTAGAGAAATTTAATTTTAATTTTATTTAAAACTTTTAAATTTGCAATTTTACTTGAGAAATAGCGCTGTCCACTTCATGCTTCAGATCGTCAACTGTTAAATTATCGATATTGTCAACGTTCAGATTGAGCTTTCCTTTAAGTTGGTCTGAAGTTGAATGGTTTAATTGTAATTGTGGTCGATTAGGCTTTTCCTTAAAAACAACTCACCTATTATCACTCTCTGCCTCTCCAAAACCACACTCTGCGGCAAACCAGCCTCGCCGGTCTCGTACGCGTATTTTTCCAATTCTTCCAGTTGTGACTTCAGCTGCGTTATCAATTCTCTTTGCTTTTCTCGTTGAGCGTGCATTTTTTCCTCCAAATCCTCTCCGACCTGAATAAATAAAAATCATATTTTAATTTTTTTAATTTTAATTATTTACACTCTCACGGGAGGCGTTGCGCAAAGGAGTTCCTTTGGAGTTTTTGATTCTCTGTAATCCGGAATTCCTCTAAATGCAAACTGCTCCAGATCTTTCAGCAACATCTCTTTTTCCGTTGGAGGCGCTTCGACAATTTGGCTTAAACGAAACTGGACCTGTGCGAAACAAAAATTTTATTTTTTCAAATTTTGTTTTTATTTTTTGAATTTGCCTGAGCGAAGTGTGTGGTGAGCGCTATCAACGACGAGTTCAGCATTTCCTGTTGTTCTTCCAGTTCCCGCATTTTATCAACGTCGAACTGGAAACTGAAAAGAAACCGTGGAGACGAGGTTAATTACCCCCTTGTGATAATAATATAAAATAGGTGCAAAGAGGTCGTCACTCTAGATAATTGACCGGCAGCTAAGGCGTATTTCAAATTGGCACGATAGAACTTTATTAATGAGCAATTTAAATGGATTTTTTAACCTGTTTTGCTAAAATAAGTGTCAGTACATTGAAAATTTCAAAGGGAAAATTATGTAACTTTTGCTAATTAATTTTGTCAATTTTTGCTCACTGTGATATGGAAGTGTGGTGAGCATAGCAGGCCGCCTCCTCTTCAGGGTCGTTGGCCCCCAGAGGCGCCCACCTCTCACCTGCCGGCTTTCCATCAATTTCCAAATCATCTGCCTCTGACATTGACGGGGGATGGAACTCCTCTAACGACATTCTGCAACCGAGAGACAAACAAAGTGGGTCAGAATTAGATTTTCTTTAAATTAATAATATTTAATTATTTTACGTAAGAAAATTTTCAATTTTAAAGAACCGGCGAAGAAATAAATTTTTATTGCGCATTAAACTTATCTTCTTTTAAGAAAATTAAAATGAATAACAGCAAGAAATAAATTTTAAGTCTCACCTGTATGTCTGTCAATATCGTAGAAGATGCTTTTGAAGTCCAATTCTTTTTAGTTTTCTCCCCGAATGGTCACTTGGAGCAGTTTTTTCTAATTTAAATTCACGTGTGTTGTTTAGAAGTTAAATTTTCCAGCTGCGTGCTTGGAAGTAACCGAAGAGGAAATGAAACACATGACATGCAGCGAGGGACTGATAAAGTGTAATCGCCTTACTGCGGGCCCCGAGTAAAACCCAGGCGCTCTGGTCGGCATCTCGATCAATATATTCCCCACCGAAGCGGGCGAGCATGGGCACCGACGCGCGGCTCGACCCGCTGACATGCGTATTGGGAATAAGATACAAAATTTGAATTTTTTTATGAAAAGTGCAAAAATATGAAAAAGAACAAACTTAATAAATCATTAAATTAGGTCCTATAGTTAAAGAAATAGTAAGAATTTTTGCTACAATTGTTAGAAATATGTGGAATTTTATGGAATTTTAAAGGTTCAATCAAATTTTGTTTTTATGTTTATAAAGCAAAAGTGTTTTTGGTATCAATAAATTATAATTTTTATTGAAAGCATAAGAATAATTTAAAATGTTAATATAACAGCTAATAACAAATATAGCATCAAAACATGAAATGATAATTTTATGCGGCGCCCTATTAAAAGTAACTTTCAGCTCAGAAACTGATCACTTCATGAATCATAAAAATATTCTGATGAAATTGGAAATTTATACCAGGCATTATGTATGCAACTGGTTTAGTTTTACAAGTTGCCTACTTTTAAAAGTTGCAGGCGCGAACGATACACGCCTTATTTTAATTAGTTTGAAAAAGTTTTGGTGCTTCAAAGTTGCAAGATTGGATGGGTTGCTCAGAATTTTAATTTAAATATAAAAACACACTAAAGTTGGTTATTTCTTTTTGGCAAAATTTATTATATTTTACCAGATTTTATCAATTGCTTTCCAGTTGCTTTAGCTGCTGCCTTACGTTTTGGGAATTTTTTGAAATGATAAAGAGTCACCAGAGGAATATTTTTGTGAATACATATTATTGCTTTATTTTTTAAAACACGATGGAGGGAGCACTTTTTCAATTAATAAATTAAATAAATTAAGTGAAATCACGGAATGGGGGAGCCATAGAGGTCGCACATTTTTGCCAATTAACCCTGCATCATCTGGTACTTGTCAACGGCCTGCATGACAAAGTTGGAAAGCGTGTTGAGGTTGCTGACGGTGGCGAGGGCCTTCATGCTCCTGCCCACGGGGAAGGAGATGGCGCACAGGGGGGTGAAGGCGCACACGACGGCTCCGACGCCGGCCACGGCCAGGAAGAGCAAAGTGAATCCGATCACGTTGACCAGAAACTTGGCCAAAATCTTGGCGAGCAGCACCTTCTTCACCTTCTTCAGGTGCTTCTTACCCTTATCCTTGCCGCCGTGCTTGGGCTTGCCAAAGGGCAGGGGAATCACTACTGGCTTGCCGTGGGCGCCAACAAGGGTGATTTTGTTATCATTGACGATGTTGTCCAGACCGGCCTGGCCGAGTAGGGCGGTGATTGCGTCAATCGGGCCGCCTTCCAGCATTTGTGAGATAAAACCGGTCAGTCCTGGCAAATAACAACAACAATGAACATTAATTAAAACAAGAAGATTATGAAAATTGACGTATTGTACGTTAGTGGGTTGTGTGATATGTGAATAAAATACTGGAATAATTTAAACAAAAAAATCGAGATATTTTTTAATGTGCGTGTTAATTAATAAGTAGGATCACTAAAAAATTTATATTATTTTGATTCGTTTTTGTAATTTAAAGACCAAAGATTCAATTCAATTACACTAATTAATTTTTTTCAAAATTCAAGTTTTCTTTACTCACCACCTTCAGATTCCTCTTCTTCGACAGCAACTTCACTCTCAGCGGGGACCAAGTATCCTTCATATCCGGACTGGACGCTGTATCCAGTCGGCTGCTCGGCCTCTGGGGTGCCATACTCTTGGGCAGGAGCAGCGTAGGTTGCTTTTGGGACGGCGGCGTCCGCAAAAGTTTGTTGGGCCACAAAGCCGATGAAGGCGATCACAAATAAGGCACGCATTCTATATTAGGATATAAATAATATTTTAATTAATACTAAAATAAAGTAATTTTTATTTAAATAACTAAATAATGAATCAAAATATTTAAAGCAGGCTACTTAAATTAAGATTTTAAAACACCTAAATTTATGTGCAAATTTCAAATTTAAGCACTTTTTTTTATTTAAAATTAACTTTTTCAGGTTTTTCTTATTTCCTGATTTTTCTCCAGCAACCTGTTAGATTGAGATGAGCAGAAACTCTGCTTGGTACAGATGAGAATTCTCTCGTCTATCACGTTTTTGCGTGGGACAAACATGCAGGGGGTGCGAGGGTCGGAAGAGAACTACTTACGCAAGCGGTGACGTCACAGGGTGCAAATTTGCGTGGGTGGCTGGCTGCTCTCCCTGTACAACTGAACGACTACGAATGACTGAACAACGGCCGACGCCTTTATATTAAAGCTGAAGCACCTAACGGGCCTTAATCAACTCTATTTTTAATTCCTCCCAATACTTTGATTTGCAGGACATATATAGCGATCAAATACCAGTTTCATTAAGTTATGTCTGAACAGAAATTCAAAAGAGTAAATATCATAATTATTTTTAAGAGATTAAAAAGAAAAAATTGAATGTTCAATATTTATTTAAACTGGATAAAATTTTATTTTGTCAGAAAAAAATCGCTAAAAATGGAACGTATAATTTAAATATAGGTTGAATTGTTCATTTGAAAAAATCAAACACGCAACACGTTTTCATAAAACAAAAATTATTATTAATTATTTAACAAAACTTGTGAAATAGCACACTGCAGCATTATTTTTCTGTTATAATATTTTAATTTAATTTTAAAAATAGATTGGTCCTATACAAAATAATTTCAATGAAAAATATTGATCTCTTTGTAATTTTAAAATGTTTTTTTTTTTTTTTTTTTGAAATCCGCAATTGAATCTGCATCTATTTTTATTAAAGACTATGAGCAGGGATTTCCTTACTTGCAGGATGTTCGTAAAATGCTTGTTTGAATGTGTACAAAAATATCTTCACAAAGCCATTCACCCAATTAAGCCAGCTGAAGTCAAACACCCCGCAGGCATAATGAGCAGTAAGCGCTTATTATAATATAACACATTTAACCTGCTGACCTAATTAATCCTGATTACCAGAGGAGAGAATATTTAACATTGCTCGAATTGTATAAAATATATTTCAAAGAATGATAAAACTAAAATCAGTTCCATAGAACAAAGATTAAAAAAGATCTTTGAAATGAATTTTTTAGATTTAAACTTACATAATATTTATTGCGTACCAACTATTGCATTTTGTAGATCATATTTTTACTAAATTTTGCTTATTTATTAAATCAAGCAGGATTGCATTTTTTTTATATTTTACATTTATTTCATTTTATCGATTTCTCTAATTTTTAATTTTAACTTTTCTTGCTCAATGCACTAGAAAAGGTTGGATGAGTCAAGTTTATACAGGTCTCTCCTTTACGCGTTTGGGGGTATTTAATAAAAGCCACCTCCAGTTCAAAGGTTTCATTCACTCTCCACTTGCCTGAAAGCAAACTAAAGGCAACTTTTGTCTCCAGCGAGTTCGCAAAATGAGGAACCTTTCAGTGTGTCTGGTCCTAGTTTTCCTCGCAGCGAGCAGCCACGGAAGGGTTGTACGCAGGGATTCCGAGCTCATCAACAAGGACACCCAGGAAACCAAGGTCCAGGTTGTCCTGCAGGTCGCCGACCCCGCGGACGATGATATCGAAGTTACCACGGATGAAGACACACAAATAATACTGCCATCAAGGGGCGCCAGAGTTCTCAGCTTCACACCCGCAAACCAAGGTAGTTACAATTTTGTATTTTCTTTAATTTATTTCAGTGATTATTTTGATAAAATTCAATTTTGTTGTTAATTTATTTAAAACATTTTATAGTGGCTGAATATGTGAAGAGCTTAATTCCGACAGGCGAGAAAATCCGCCCGGTTACCAGAACTATTATGGGCGCCGTCCAAGGCCATCAACATTGTTGGCAAAAAATGATCTGCCAAACTGGAAGGATGCTCTCTGGCTTCAAACAAGCACCCGACTTTTTGGAGTAAGTAATTTTTACGAAGTACATAAACATTCTAGAATGAAAAAAATAAAATTTATAAAATATATATAATTTTATCTTTAAAATTTTTCTTCTTTTAGCATGGTCGACAAGTATGGCCCAAATGCAGTGAAAGAAGTGGTTGAAATCATGAGAAGCTCTGCTGTCCAGGGAGATGATTGCTCTGCTCTCATCTGCGATGCTTAATTTGAAAATAGCTTGTGTGTTTTACAAAAATGATTTTAATTTATGAAAACGTTCCCTAATAAAATTTGAAACTTTTTTAAAATTGATTTGCTTTAACTCTCACATTCCCTTGCCATTGAAAATTTCCAGAGCAGCTTTAGAGAAATAAGGCAATCATTAAAACTCATAACACATTAAATATTGCTAAAAATTAAAGCGACTCATAAAAAAATCAAATTAAAATTTTTCACCAGCTATCAGCTTATATAAGTGTAGAAGTATGAATTTTAGGTAGGAAAACCTTTAAAAAAAATTTCAATTTAATATAATTATGCAGAAAAAAACTGCACGATTTGCGCATGTTTAACAGGTTGCCTAGTGCTCCAAAATAAGGCGGCGTATAGTTTCTAGATTTTCTTGGGCTTAATTTGTCTTCAGTTATAAAATTTATCTTGAGTGTATTGTGTCTGTGCGTGAGTGCGTTTATTTTATAACAGTGCAATAATAATAATAACGTGCCTACTTCTGATTCTATTTTACGCTATTTTAATTAAACTAATTAAAGTGTGATTTTGCGCTATTAATAGCGAAGATTTGCCGCGCTTTATTGTCGGTGCATACCACAGAGGGCAGACTTGGCCGACGGCGATCCCATGACGAGCAACGAGCACCCACGAGTGTTTTGGAAGCACAGCTGGTCCAAATAATCCAAACAACCAAAACTTTGAAAGATTCTTTGATTTTTGACTGAAGTTCAAACAAACGCATTACTGCAGATAAAAGGAACTAGTCATGTTTAAAATTAGGTATAATCAGCTAATAGAATTATTAAAAAAATTCAAATAATCATTAACGCATGACTTTATGTAATTACATAGTCATGCATTGGCCAATAAATTTGTTATGAAACTCTCTGATGCATTAACCAGTTGCAAGATTCATATTGTTGTTGTATGATTTAACCCAATTATGTTGTGCCTTGCAACCTAAATTATTGTGCGACTGTGAAACACGCTCATATTTTAATTTTGAATTTTTTTTATCTTCAGCAGGTTGAGATAAAAATTAAGACGCTAGCCGGCGTGATGTGGAGCCAATCATCAAGAAACTTATTAAGGCGCACCTCTTTTGTTCTAAAAAATGACAATCCTGTTAGGTAAAATCACCAATTTATACCATACATAAATCAATATAATATTATTTTTTTTATTTAAATAAAATTTTCTCTCCAAATTTCAGGACAATGAAGAAGCAAGGTGCAGGACCTGATGCTCTGAAAGAACGCAACAAAAACAGATACTGGCGCTTTCCGAAATCAAACACGAGCCCCCGACAGAACTTTGACTACTTTCTCGTCCTTGACTTTGAAGCAACCTGCGAGGAAAACAAAAAAATCGACGTCCAGGAAATTATAGAATTCCCTTGTATCAAGGTCAATGCCATAAGTCTTGAACCGGAGGCGATTTTCCACCAGTATGTGATGCCCACCGTCAACCCAGAACTCAGCCACTTCTGCACAAAGCTCACTGGAATAACTCAAGTAAATAATAATAAACACTTACTAATAATTATAATTAAACAAAATCTACAGGAGATGCTGGAGGGTCAGAGCAACTTTAAACAAACAATGCAGCAATTTGATCAGTGGCTCCACGAACAAGGCTGTGCAAACAACAGGAGCACTTTTGTGACCTGTGGTGATTGGGATTTGAAAATTCAGTTGCCCAAGCAGTGTCAAACTGAGGGCATTGAATTGCCGCAATATTTTACATCGTGGATTAACATCAAACATGTAAATATTTTATTGTTGGTTAAAAATGAATTAAATAAAAATTTAATTTGGTTTAGTCGTTTGCCGAGGCAACTAGCCAGTTTCCGAGGGGTATTGTCGACATGATGTCAAGACTGAATCTCAAACCTTTGGGACGACTGCACAGTGGAATTGGTAAACTTATAAACTAGATCATTGAATTAATTTTTTGCAGAAATTAAACTAGGGTACACTTAATCTGAATTTTCCAGTTTTAATCAATTTCTTTTTTTATATAGATGACTGTCGTAATTTGACCAAAGTGCTTCAAAAATTAGCTTATGAGGGATACGTCTTTCACAAAACTGGTTTCACTTGGCAGAGAAGTGGATTCGCCCCTAGCGGGCAGACTCAAGAGCCAAAGTCTTGAACATCTTTCTAATGACTGAAATCATTTGTGTTTTGTTTGATATCTAGAAATTTGACTGTTCAGGAAATAAAATTCCACTTGTTATTTACAAAACCAACATTGGCTCAAGACTTTTATTAATTCTCAATACAAACAGTTTTTCGTTTTGCTGCAATTTGAATGTTATTGTTTTACGATAGGAGTTGCCTTACGAGACGGGCTGAACGCAAACTTCGTAAATTGAAACTCTTGTCTTTACACGCATATATTGCAAACTTCAACAACGGCTTTTTTTTCGAGCATGAACGCTCCCAACCAAATATTCAGCATTAGGGTTCGAAAAATTTATATTCACTAAACTTTAAAAATAAAAGCAATGCACATATAGAATTATGTTTTACGAAAAGATATTCATATATACTCAATGTTTATAAATAATTAAAAGTTTTGGAACGTATCGGTGACCAGTTCAACTGCATTTTCTCCATTCTTCGATTTGCAAAACAGACAGAGACATCCAGATGTGACATACGAGTGAAATGTCTTTGCCAATATTTGCAAGAACAACTCACGGATAACAAACAAAAGAGGCTCAAATTACTTTTTGGCCAGCTCGTTTGACAGCCAGTCCAGACCCTCATAGAGGCCGTGGCCTTGAGTAGCACAAGTTGATTGAATATACCACTGCAATGAGCAAAGGAATAATTAATTAATCAGACCAAAGTAAATAAAGATTTAAAATATCTTACGTGGCGGTTTCGTAGCTGGTTGAGACCAAGTTTGTCCGTCAGCTCGGCAGCTGACATTGCATTGGGTAAGTCCTGTTTGTTGGCGAACACAAGAAGCACCGCATCTCTCAACTCATCTTCCTTTAGCTAAAAAAAAAATGCAACTTTAGCATTATTCTTTATTAAAATAATATAGGGAATAGGAATAAAAAGCAAATTGTTGATGAAAAAACGTTTTAAGGGAATCATCCTTGCTGTATTAAATTTTACTTAAATTAAAAATCAAAAGAATTTAGCTCAAAATTTAATTTTAAGAGAAAGAACAATTTCATTGGCAAAACTTAAAAAATTACACATTGCAAATTAAACCGTTATTAAAATAGAACACAAGAACTATGTTTATTAAATAGAAGCAGCAATAATTGTCGACTTTGAACTACCTGGCATCAGCATATTATTTTGCATCCTGTTTTTAAAAACAAGAAAAATATCAAGCTTGCAATTTTTAAAAACATGTCCTAGACCTAAATTCTTGTCTTACGATAAAAAAAATTAAAAGCTGCATTTTAAGTACTAATGAGAGCAACTTACAGAGAGAGAAGCTAAAATAATGTGTTAATAGTAATTTTCATTAAAATAGATTCTTGATAATAATAAAAACATATAATTATTTAAAAAATTACAGCCACCAATCAATTTTTTAAATTTAAATTTTATGATAAATATGAAATTTTAATAATCAATCACAGAAATGATAAACAAAATTAAATAAAGAGAAAAAATTAGCGAAAAATAACTTGATTAATCAAGGCCACACAAAATTACCATGTGTTCAAGCTCGCGCTGAGCCTCTCCAATTCGCTCCCTATCATTGGAATCGATGACGAATATCAGACCCTGCGTATTCTGGAAGTAATGTCTCCAGAGAGGACGGATTTTGTCCTGGCCGCCAACGTCCCACACCGTGAAGCAGATGTTCTTGTACTCGACGGTCTCCACGTTGAATCCTGCAATTGCAACGGGCGTATTATTTTATAACATTATTATAATGTACGACGTGTGTATGTGCTTGAGAGATAATGAAGAAGAGTCAGATTCTTCCGTACCGATAGTGGGAATGGTGGTGACGATCTCGCCCAGCTTGAGCTTGTACAGGATGGTGGTTTTGCCGGCCGCGTCCAATCCGACTGAAAGAGAAACAAGAAAAATTAACTTTAGCCGAGAAAATGATGCTTTCCGAATGGAAAAAGGCGATTGACGTCGCCGGTCGACGTCACCCTAGGCCTGCCCGCCGGCCGATAATGCACGGGATACACACCCATCAAGATCCTCATCTGCTTCTTGCCGAACAGTTTGGTCAGCACGCTGGAGATCGTGAGGCCCATGATGCCGAACGCTTTTGCACACTTTGGTCAAGGTGGACACCGAAAAATCGCCTCTCTGCCACGTCTTGCGGATCACGCAGCCGTCGCAGTCACTTTATTTACGCAGGGAAACACGATTTTGGACAACTTCAGCAGCTGACCGCTGACGCAGCACCAACGACGCCGCGCCCAGCTCGCGAACTATTGATAAGGCAACATCACAGTTTTGGGCCTATACGAAAGCCAGGCTGCGCGCGCATTAACTGACATCATCTGCAATTTGTCCGATCACGAGGTGGCCAATAACTGATAACCGGCCGATTGCGAAATATTTTTTGTTGACTGGAATCTCCGGAGTTCTGAAATTCAAGGTTGAAGAGGCAATTTTCTCAACAAGCGAAATCTCAGTGGCCAATGTAATTGATTGAAAGTTCATTTAAATGTCCCTAATTTTCAGATTTGAATTTTAGGTGTCAATAATTTATTGTTTGATTTTAAAATTTATTATTTCAGATGTCGGTCGATAAGCTGCGGCAGCAATTTCGAGGGCAACTCTACAAATACACAAACGTGGTGAAAGGATGGCAATATCGGTGGTTTATCCTAGACCCGGAGAGAGGAATTTTGGATTATTTCGTGGCAAGAAAAAATTATTCACGACTTAAATATCATTAATAGTATAAATCTCTGGCTAATTCATAGACGGACCCACAACAGCAGCCCAACCGAAAACAGAGGCCTCGAGGTTCAGTTCACCTCGCCTCGGCGGTGATTTGTCCAAGTGACGAAGACTCCAGCACCTTCACCTTGAATTCAGCGTCTGGAGAGATTTTTAAATTGCAGGCCATTGATGCTAGAGAAAGGCAGGAATGGGTCAATCGACTGCGGGCCGTGGCCGAAATGCACACTTTAGCCATTGCCCAGGTAGTGCTTCTCTGCGATAAAATTAATATTCACGATGTAAATATATTTCAGAGCAATCCTCCGCTTCCGCCTCGAGAGCACCACTCACTTGGAGCACCGCCACAAGCACCACTGGTGCACTGCTCATTGGCAGTTTTGGACGCCCTGAGGTCTGCAAGAGACAATTTGCAAAAGGCCGAGCAGAAAAATCAGGAACTGGCTTGCTTCATAGATGATTTGCCACCAAGTATGTAATAATTTTAGTTGTGATTTTTTTTTACTAAAAAAAAGTATAGTTTAAGTCAAATTAACAAAATTTGTCACTGGATTAAGAATCAAATGTATCAATTTCTTAGAAATAAATTTGTAGAAAAAAATTTATATTTCTAGATAAAATTTCAGTTATTATTATTAATATTATTTTCATAAATTTTTAAGGTGGATCCATTCATCACCTTGATCCAGAGCTGTTGATGCTCAAGGCAACATCTCAAGCAACAATCCTGTGTCTGAGTCAATGCCTGACCATTTTGCAACAGCAGCAAATTGCCCCCCAGGGTGTGCCACAGCCACGCACAAAGAAGACCCCAATCCACTTTATTCCGCCTCAACCGACTGACCTGATGGACAAAAAGAGGTTTGTTTTCTTGATATAGATTTTAAATCTCGAAAGACGTATGAGTGACGGTGCTGTTGGTTTGTTTGGGACAGGGGTAAAGGCACGGACATTCCCCTCAGACTTAGAGATAGTCCGTCGAGTTCGGCAGATTCTGATTAGCAACCAGCACCGTTCGTAAATTTTCGCTTTAATTCCTGTTCATGTTGCGACCAGGTACGGACCAGAGACATTCTCACATCAGTAGTTTATCTGTTCCGTTTTGCACCCACATATATTCTGTTGCTAAATCAAAATTTTGTTAGAGGTTGAAGCATGATTTTATTTAAAATTAATCAGGGGGTTAAAAAAACGCATAAAATACTATTACAAGTAGCTCTAATGAAATTGCTAAAATTTGAACCAACTCCAGATCAAATATCAAAATGCCATCCCACTCCATCATTTATTTTAATTTGCCAGTTAAATCAGGTAGATTTTAGTAATCCAAGTGCCGTGCATGAAAAGGCTTATTATCTAATCCAAAGCGATTAATTTTTATTTTGTGCTTTGTGATGTGATACCACACTCGATCAGATTCCAATTTTCTAAGATATTCTTTAATATTGATCCCTCTTTCAGTACCTCTTCAGCTCATTCCACCAGTAATAGTGAACCAGATAATATCTCGACTAACAAAAATCCAGGTATATGTTTTCCAATTTTGAAAGTCGACAGAAGTTAATGGTTTATTTTGAGCAGAGAAAATTCAACGCGATGATGAGTTAACTGACGAGGAAGTAGAGGAAGACCAGAACGCAATTCTCACTGATGAGCACAGCACTCTTTTAAAACTCGCCTCACACACCAAACGCGGCACTGACCTCACTCGAGTCACTCTCCCGACATTTTTGATGGAGCCAAAATCGCTTTTAGAACAGCTATCAAATTTTTTCAGCTGCACAAGTCTTTTCATCAAGTAAATATTTTTTAGTCAAAATAAAATTTATATACTCCTTTGCCTTTAATTTATTTTTAAAGCATTGGCAATTCAAAAGATGCCAAGGGTAGAATGCTTGCTATTGTGAAGTGGTACCTGACGTCTTTCAACGCGGGTCTTAAAATGCGTCCTGGCAAAAAGCCTTTGACCCCTCTTGTGGGTGAAACCTTTGTCTGCTCGTGGAAAGTTCTTGAGGGCACCAAAACCCACACGATTCATTTTGTTGCTGAGCAAGTACAGAACCAGCCACCTGGTAAGTGTTTCTATACCATTTATAGATAGAGCTAAATTTATCTAGATTTTTTAATTTTTTAGTTTCTGCATTTCACGTCGAGTGTCCTTCAAAGCAATTAAAGCTGGACGGTTTTGCCAGTTTCAAATGCATTTTCACAGGAATGTCTGTTGACATAACTGTGTCGGGAGGAATTAGACTTAACTTAGACTCCTTCGGCGAGCAGTACGACTTGGGTTACCCGACAGTCCACGCCAGATCAATCATATCCAAGCCTTGCATCCAACTGGGAGGAAAAGTCAACATCCAAAGCTCTACCAACGAGTTTAGTGCTGTTCTGAACTACCCGAAAGTACGCAGTTCAGATGGTAAAAGCAACAGTTTAATATTTTTGTTAATTCCAGTCATTCTTTGGAGAAAAACCAAATCAAGTTATAGCCGAGATCAAGGACGCCACCCACAATGTTATCTATAAAATTGTGGGCGACTGGACCACCAGCCTCAAAGTTGTGAATTTAAACGAGGTAATTTTAATTTGCTATTAAGAATCACGATTTTTATAAAATATTTGCCAGCAGAATAACTCGGCGTCACCATTGGAGGTACTTGGTCTGAAAACTTTGCCAAAGCGAGTGAGACCAATCGACAAACAAGGTCAATATGAATCAAGGAAATTGTGGGGTCCTGTGATCAAATCTTTGCAAGAAGGTGATATTAATAAAGCAACAAATCATCGACTTTTGGTAAATTTTTTAAATTAAATGCAAACCAGGTCCAATAAAATAATTTTAATTCTAGCTTGTTGAGCAGCAAGGTTTCCAGTCGCAAAATTATTTGCCAATGTACTTCAAGCAGACTGCAGGAGATCAGCCAATGTGGTGTTTTCAGAATTGTGATTAATCGTCGTCATTGTCCACGTCTCTGGATTTTTATGTTATTAATTCAATCAACATTTATTAAGATATATATCTTGGGAAAGAAATATTTTTAATGGCACGAGCTACCTGTAATCTCACGAAGCATTAAAATTTTTGGGTTTTTTATATGTACAAAGAAAGTAATGGTTAAGTCACAATTTTTATATGCTACAGCACTTTCTTGTTTATTTGAATATAGTTAAAATAAAATGCTTTACATTGCTCCGAGTTCTTTCAGAGTATCAGTTTTGCTTACAAAGTACTCTCTGTACCCTTCGATGTGGGCTTTCTTCTCCTCGACAGTGAAGTGAGGGTTTTTCGACAATCCGATGCAAACCAATTCCATAAAGTGGCGTACGGGACCCTTTTTTGGGCACCAGTCTTGCAAGTGCTTCTCGAGAAAAATATGCTCGGAAAATGGAACACTCTGCTCCTCTTCCCAGCCTAATGTTTGAAACGGTAATTAAAATTTTATTTAAATTTATTTTAGGTCACCTTGTTCGTTATCAATTGGGAATTTCCATAATTTGCCTTGGTTTGTCCACAAAATCATTTCTTCGTAAATATTTGATGGTGGATAAGTGACTGCCAGTCGCAATTCCCGTTGACTCATTTTATCCCAAACGGAAAGCAGTGGCTTTGCGTCGGACAACGTCTGTGCACTTTCTGTGAAAATTCCCAAAGGGACACTTTCTGATAGACCAGCGCTAGGGCCCAATTCATCCCTAAATCAATAAATTTTATTAATTTCCTATGGAAAATAATTTGCAAACTAGATTACCTATTGAATTGTCTCTGCGGCCTTCTTCGGATGAAGCCGCTTTGCTTTTCATCATATGAGGCATTATCTATCAGAGCTTTAACTCTACTAGACCTTGAATGTGGTTCGTACTTTCCTTTAGATGTTGTTGCCACTTTTTCCACTTTCATTCCCCCCAGCAGTTCACTATGGGAGATAAAATGTAGTTTTAAAAAATGATCAATAAGCATAGCATCGCAAAAGAGAATACCTCAAATTAATTGGTTCACTTGGAGGAACCTCCTTTTCTTTAAGCGGCTCTTCCATCACATGCTCGATGACAGGCGCTTTCATAGACGCAACTTTGTCCACCAAATCTGCTTTGACTTGCTCTTTATTGCCTTTAGATATGCTTGCAACTCCATCAATAGCATCAGCCATATCTTTTCCTAAAAAATCATTGAATTTAAAAGAATAAATTGAGAAAATTTTATCTTTGATATTACCTAGATTATATTCAGCAGAAGAGGTTATCTTCTTAAACACTCCTTTTTTGCTTGTAGCAGTGGACAGTTTTAAGGCCTCAGCTTTCAAAGCCAGATCATCCTGCAGAGGAAAAAAGTTAACATAAATCCAAATAGCAAACAAATGTTAATTTATTTCATACTTTGATAATGGCTTGCAGAAGCTCATTCAGTTTCAGGCTAGCTTTCACGGGATCTGCTGACTTAACAGAAGGTTGAGGCTCATCACGACTTTCCAATTTCTTGTCATCCTTCTTAATTTTTGGTTGAGACTTTTCATCGTCCGAATCAGATGAGCTACTGTCCGAAGAATCCGAAGATGAACTACTCAAAAATCTACCTGGCTGAGTCCTTATCAAAATCCTTTGTGGTGAAAAAAAAAGCGGAAAATGTTACAAATTTCGATCACATTTTTTTTCCAAATTTTTTAATAAAAAATTGTTATAGCTTACCAAAACTTTTTCAGATGGCTCATGCCTACTTTTGAAGGCGCAAGTGCTTGCATTTTTATAGCTTTTTAAATAAATATTAATATTCTTGAGTTTTTCAACAAAAACAAACCATAGCAACCTACAACACGTTTTCCTGCGAAGCAAAAGTGGCAAAAGTATAAAGGGGGCGTGTGTTACTGATGGTAGACGCGCGGCGGGTTGCATACTACAACTAAACAAGGCGTTTAAGATTCCGATTAATAATTTTCACGAAACACACCACGATGAAAATTTGAAATATTATGCTATTAGTGCGAATTTCGGAAAATTTGAATTCTTCTTAACTTTTACATTTTTTATGTATTGTATATCGTCGGCTACGCGGCCAAATGGCCGATCTGGTAAATACCCCTGTGGGGAAAATGGCTAGTGGCCACTTTCCCCGTTGGGGAAAATGGCAGATGAGCCTTTTTTTAAATTTTACAGGAGAAGCAAAAAACTGATTATCTGCTCCAATTTTCAATGTTCAGATTTCAAAATTTGAACCAAAGTTCAGCATGTTATTGCAGATAATTTGGTAGACTTAATTTTCTTTTAAACCTTAATATACACCTGTTGTAAGAAATTTAAAGGGAAGTAATTCCACACTGAAAGAGTAAAACGTACAATACAATCGAAATTAAACCACTTATGCGATTATTTCCTGCTTTTCTTTGTTCAATTTAACTTGATAATAATATTTTATAATATAATTTTATTTAAATTCATCGTTTTTTATAATATTTTTATTATTTTATTTTATTTAAATTAATTTAAATTTTATTCTTTTATTTGCACAATAGTAAACAATTTTGGCATTAAAAGCATTTTTTTCTTATTTCACATGACTCGGCGTCACTTCTAATTATAATCTCATGAATAGTTTTACTGATACTTTCTATAAATTGCAATAATTAGTAAAGTAAAATCTAGCTCGGATACAACATAAAGCTTCTGGTTGCATGTCAAATATTTTAATAAAAAAATCTATATTTTACTATTTATTTAATTTTCAAATTATATCTATTTTAAAGAATTATTTGCATTATCATGCAAAATGCATGAAAAAGCTATCACTTTCGAATACAATATTGACGAAACTTCAGCTTATTCTGATATTTTACTTCTTACTTAATGTTAGGTATTTTATTAAATTTATTAAAATTTTATTTTTATATTTTTTATATTTTCATTATTTTTAACATTTATGGCATTTAAAACAATTTTGGCATTATTCAGCAAGCGGGAATGCTGCCTGCTTGCTGTGGAACTTGGCAAGGGGGCGTGGCACTGCCTTACTTTTGCTCCCCGAACTCGCGATAGTGAGACATCTACCGAGAAAGTTGATACTTTTATGGTTGTTTCTGATGCAGATTTTTACACTGAATGCATTGGAACAATAAAAAAAATTTGTCCGGAAATGCTCATCTGCCATTTTCCCCAACGGGGAAAGTGGCCACTAGCCATTTTCCCCACAGGGGTATTTACCAGATCGGCCATTTGGCCGCGTAGCCGACGATATATATTTGATGTATTATTTTTCATGGTTGAGGATTTGATTTGAAGATTGTTTTAAGATAAAGTAAAGAGCGTAACTATTTAAATTTCTACAATTTTTTCGCAATTTACTATAACAATTTGGAGAAAGAGTTTCAGAAAAAATAGCAACCAAGCAATTATTTTAAGAATTTTGATTCTTTAATTATTTTAACTATATAACGAGTACACAAATTATTTATTTCTCTGCAGAAACTACTGGCGCGGTGGAGGCAGATCTAGAGGAGCTTTCCGAGTGTACACAAAATTTTCTCTCTTGTGGTAAGGTGCATAGGGGTCGTTAACAAGGAATCGCTCTCGGCGCCAGAATTTTGTGACCATCTTATCCAAAAGGGTGCATTGAGTGGCATTGCACATCACATGATAACGCAGCCTTTTTCTATTTTTGCCAGTTTTCCTCCATAATCTTTTCTCCCTGCCGGCTTTTACGCGGATCCACATTCCCCTGTAAGATACAATAAAATTGTGTAACAAACATTACATTAAATTTGTGCGTTGGAATCTTCAAAAATAAGTGTTTTAAAATGTTCACTGAAATATAAAATTTTAATGTATTATTCATACCAGTTGAGTCGAAAGAATCTCTTTACTACTTCTTCGTTTGTAACTCGTCTGCCTGTGTACAGTGAATACTTGTTGAGCAGCGTTCTTCTTTGCTCAAACATCACTGGTGTTGGGATTCTAGAAAATATAAGAAAATTATTCTCTTTGTACATAGAATGTTGTGTAGATTATTGATGTAAGCAATATTTTTTTTTTTTCAAACAAAACTGTTTTTAATTTATTAATTACATACCTCGAAAGTAGATTTAATGGTTTGACTGGTACAGTTCCACATAAACTTGGGCTGAGACTGAGAGTGTTGTTTGAAGTCAAATTTTGCTGCAATTGGTTAGCCAAAATTGAAACAGTTCTGCTTGGATTTGTAAGGGTTTTTGACGCCATCAGTTGCCCTGCTTTGCGCAAACCTGTAAAGCGAAAATTAATTATATTTTCTTTTACAGTAAAAAAAATTAACAGAGCTAGGAATGCAAAAATAAATTTTAACTTTATGTACATACCTTGAAAAACAAAGCTGCGGATCATCATGAAGCCTTGCAGACTGCTTTGTTGAGCAAACTTGCCAATATTCTGGAGAGTTTCAAGCAAATGACGTGGCTATTGCAGAAAAATAAAGAAATTTTTATAGGGATGCTTTCTTTCAATTCGGTTAAACGAAGACAACAATTTTAAGATATAATTACATTAATGAATAATGAATCCTGATCTGATTTTCTGAATGCGAATCTCGTTGTTGGATCCACGCCCCCTTTTTCGCAACGCCCCCCTTGACAAAAACGGTTGTGTTTTGTTTGTCTTTGGTGGTCAGTCGTAGGTATTGTTTACATACATTTTTGCGCTTGTAAATTGCACACGAAAACAAAAGAATACAAAATCTAAAAGCGTAAAATCCAAATAACTTTTTCTACGCGTCCATTGTTTGAAGTTCCTCTCTTTGAAGTGAGTTTAAAAATTACACATCAAAAAATACAAATCCACTGTTAATGATTGGTCATTTTTGGCATTTATGTACAAAGCATGTTATGAACGGTTGGTAATTTTCTCTAATAACAGTGACTCTGTCTCTTTTTACAGACAACTGAACGTTCAAATCGGCTAATTATTAAAATGGATCTCTTGAGCTCAATAATGAACGCAATGGACAAACCACCTCGAGTGAATGAAAAAGAAAAGAAAGCACAAAGAGGCATGTATCTCATCTCATCTCAAACTCCCAAATTTACGTCTCATTTAAACAAATTACATAATGTCTCCAGACCAACAAGCCGCGTTGGACAAAATCAAACAAGCCGAAAAGAAGCACCTTTCAGAGTTCAGGGTAAAAATTGAAGGGATGATCAACGACTTCATCAAAGACAGTTCCAAATCGAAGCTTGTGTTTGAAACCATGGACAAAGTGCACAGAGCTGTCGTGTAAGAAGTGTAAAAAATTAACAAACGTTTTCTTATTCATAATATTTTAGGCAAGACGTATCTGATATTGCCGGAATGCCAGCCTTCTCGTTTGGTATTGAAGGGGTTGATCGCCACGTTCAAGTTTTTAGGAAGGAAACGGTTCCGAGTGAAAAAGTTATTGAAGAGGCACGGAGAACAGGAATGGCGGACCTAGACGAGGTGGAAGAAATAATCTCGGAGGTTGGAATTTTTTACTGCGCTAAATTAAAATTTATACTACATATAATTATTACAGAGGGAGATGGACGAGAAGCAGCAGCTGGAGTTGAACAAAACCAAAGGGCCCAAAGTTGTTCCGACGAAGGATTACAAAGAAAAATATGAACATCTGATCGGGAAAGAATCCGCACTTGACGCCGCAAAGAAAACCATCACAAACAAGCAATACGGATTTGGTAAAATTTAATCATCAGATAAATGGAATTATTTCTGACATGTTGATTTTTCCAGTTCCTGCCGAGAACAAAAAAGATCAGCGGTCGATTGAACAAACCTTGACCGACATAAGGGAAAGGAAGCGCCAAAAGTTGCATCACGGCGACGTCAGCACAGCTTCGAGCTCTAATCAAAATCCAGATGAGTCTTAAAAAGTTTGTGTTTGTCCTCTAAATTATATATGCGTATAGACTGCAATGATTGATTCGTTGAATTGTTTTAACTTCATGTGAAAATAAAAAATAAATTTAAACCCTTGAGTTGTGACAAAAATAAATCATTGTCTTATTCTTATAAACCAAAAAAAGAACAGTATTATAAGATATTTAAATTAATTTATTATGCAACAATAAGACTGAATTTATGAAAATTAAATATGGTACAAAACTCGGTGCACTTGTTAATAAGTCAAAGCAACTCCATTTTACTCATTTACCACTTAAAAGTCTTTGCCAGGAAGGAGCGTGAAATGCTCACAGCACTATTTTGTTTTTCTCATCAGTCCACATCCACATTTGATTTTTTTATGCAACACGGTAATAGTAGAAATCCATAACTATTGTGCTGATGTTGGTTGTCAGCGCCAAAGAGCAAACGTAGAAGAAAATCAACCCAGTTAAGGGGTACAGTAGGACTTGGGTGTTCTGCAGAATTGGAAGGCCTGGAAAATATTTATAAATAAATTAGTTTTGGTAAAGCTTCTCAAGGGAAGCAAAGCTTACAGCTGTAGCCAAGGAAGGTGATGTAAATGTAATATCCAACTGCCATCAAGTACAGGGTGTTGCCAAAGAGAAGAGAAATAAACCATGGCTGGGCAATGAAAACTGAAAAATAAATTTCATAAATTAATTTTTGAAGAGCTTCTTTTAACTTAAAAAAGGTACTTTCTATAATTTCTATTATTACCATGATAAAGGAGCACTAGGACAACATGCAAAATGAAGAGCACAGGGAAGAAAGCATTAAGATGAACATCAAATGCATATCCCCACTCAACATCTTGGTCTCGACAAGCAGGCTTTACCATCAATCGGTTTGTGACGAACCTATAAAATAATTTTAACAAAAATTATAATAATCAAAATACAAAATCATGGATAATTTTGGTCTCTAATTTTGACCAGTATTACCATAAGGCAGTCGCCACAAGAATACCAATACCGATGCAATCGACGAGGACAACATAGAGGAAGAATTTGAGAAATCCGTAAAAGCTCAGTTTTAAAACTAAAGCAAAGCCGATCGAGGAAACTGAAATTTAAAAATAAGAATATTTGAATAATGCACATGACCAATTCATTAAATGATTTACCAAACAACCACATTGCTAGAAGAACCAGAAACGCAGGGTCATCTCTTGCAAACTGAGCTTTGGTTTCTGCAAATAAAACAGGATGCTTATCAAAAATTATATCATAAATTTTGAAAAAGAAATTACGTTTTCTGTAGTGGAAGTTTCTGTAGACCTTTTGGGGTGAGACGAATAAATACACCATTTGCCAGAATGCGAATTCAAAGTCCATCTGCTCAAAACGCAAAATTCTTCTCAGGTATTTATACCTTTTAGCTGCTGCATCCGAACAATACATTCTGCAAAAGGAGAAAAATTGCAAATATTTTTTTTCTCTTTGAAAAGTCAAGTTTGAGCCACACTCACCTGCAAAACAATGGCAAAGGCAGAGAATCTAAAGAATCACTCCTAGAATAATGCATGATTTTTAAATTATTCTCTAGACTCTTCTTATTGACTTTGAAATTTGTCTTAAACTCTAGACCGACATGTAAACACAAGACAAATTAATCACGATCTATTATTATTGCAGACGTAGTTCCCACAACTTTCAACTCGCCACAGAAATCGCTCAATCACAGTTCTGGGTTTTGCCACATAAAAGATTTAAAATGCATCAGATGATCAAAACTGTAAAGTTACCAATGGCCAAAGTCATCTCGAGCACTTTTCTCACAGATGGCGTCTGTGTCGTTGTTTTCCAAATCAGCAGGCGGAAGTTCACGCCCATCAACTAAAAACACCCACTTGAAAAATTCCACAAAAAATTTAACTTTTGATTTTGTGCATTTTTGTCCGCTTTTGATGCTTCTTTAAAGCGCAATTCCAAAATTCGTTTGAAATTTAAATGAAGACATCATAGACCACAGAAGAAATTACGATGGCTGATATATCCGGCAAGAAAATTAGCGCACCAGACTTTGTTCCCAAGAAATGTAAAGCGATATTATTCTTTTCCCTAACATTTCCACTTTTAAATTTTAATATAATTTAGACGTGAAAGAGCTTTCGCAAAGATGCGTCGGAAAAATGGAATTGGTCAACCAGAGGCAGAAGATGCAATCCCTGTCGGACGAAACCAACTTGCAGTTGAAGAGGAACGTTTTTCAAAATTACATGCAGTTCATCGAAACTGCCAAGGAAATATCTCGTAAGCCCTTATCTAAAAAAAAATTAAATTAATAAAATTTCCCGCATTTAATTTCAGATCTGGAAAGTGAAATGTATCAACTTTCCCATTTATTGTCTGAGCAAAGGGAACTCTTGTCTAGCTTTTTGGAAACTTCGATTGTTGGTGGAAGCAAAAGTCAGCATTTGGACAAGGATAAACAACCTGAAGTTGTGAAAAAGAATGAGGAGGAGGGAAGACGAAAGCTTGCGTCAATAATCGAGAGAGTAGAGGGATGCGTTGTAAGTTCTAAAAGATTGAAAGAGCTTTTATTTTAGTCTTAAATAAATCTAAAACTTATACAATTCCTTTTTTTAGAAATTAAGATCAATCCTTCAATAAATTCGTGTATTATATTAAAATGCTAAATATATTTTTTTTTAAATTTTGTTTTTCACATTAGTCGCTTCTCGATGTTCCTGGCCGAGTCTTGCTGCACGACAGTGACCTTGTCGAACTGGATATCAATGACAACTCTGCCATCCAGAGGTACCACGGTTACTTGCTCAATGACAGCGTTGTCCTCGCAAGTTGGATACCAAACAGGTTTAATTTCAAATTCAACTAGTTTTCCTTTTTTGCTGATGTTCAATTTTGACAGACGAGGCCCTGTTAGATACAAATTCCAAGTGCAATACCCTTTGGACAGCCTTGCCGTGGTGAATGTTCGAGATTTGGGAAATATCATCCACGCCTTCAAATTCCTGGCTTTTCCAGATACCAGACTCTTCCAGTGTTCCTCAGCAACCCACAAAGTAAATTAAAGTAATAAACATTGGTTGCACTTGAATTAATTATTTTGAAATTTTTAGCAAGAGTGGATGGTTGCTTTTGATGCAGCCAAAAAATCAAATTTGAAGGAAAATCAAATGAACCAACAGAGGGAGTCGGTCTCTGAAAGGCCCGTCTCTGTTATTTCTCGAGGATACTCGACTGAGTCAACAAGTCGTAAGCCTCAAATTGAATTTATATTTTTAAATTTGAAACAAAAATTTTCAGCTTTTGATGAGCCAGTTGCAGACCCCACCCCAGAGCAGCTCATTCCAGAGTGGCTCCTTGAGGCTCCAGACGAGCTCGACGTCTGCATTGCTCAGAGACACTTTGAGGATGCGTACAATGTGATTGTCAAGTGCAAAGAAAGTTGGGACGAAATCCCACCGAGCCCAAAACTTCACTTAATCCAGTAAGATATTTCTTTCACCAACCCTGAAACTCAAATATTCATGAAAAATCCTCAGGAGGAAAATCGAATCCAGAGTTCGAACTTTGACGGAAGTTCTGATGAAAGAACTGGAGGTCTTGCCAGATAGGTCCTTCCAGGGTGGGCTGAGAGCTGCGAGGAGGGCGGTTCGACTCCTGAATCTTCTCGGCTGCTCTTCGCAAGCGTGCAAACTGTTCCTTGAATTGAGCAGTTCTGTAATTAAAACTCAGCTGAAGTGGACAATGCGTGAAGGGGTCACTGTCCAGTTCATCACTCAACTGGGCAACATTTTCTTTTCCAACATCAAGGACGTCATGCAGGAGTTTTTGAAATCGTTCCCTAGGACGTCCAGCTGTCTCTCTTCCTTCATTGTGTGGGCCGAAATGGAACTGACCACATTTGTCACTCTTCTCAACAAACACATTTTCCTGCCTCAGTCGTCACTCGACTCCATTGCTGATTGCTTCTCGTCAATTAGAAAATTGTGTTCTGAGGTGAATTTTAAACAAGAAATTATTTCAGTATTGGTGGTTTGAATTAACTTAAATCTTCAATTAATTTAAAATGCAATCTACTCCTTGAATTACAAAATTAACTTAAAACAACCCTCTAAACTTTTGCTGCTTAACAGATGAATTTTGTTCGTAATTTCAGCTCTGTGAGCTTGGTCTGGACATCGTGTATATTTTAGACGGACTTCTGCGGTCACCCTTGACGAGAGTCATCCAGGACAATACAAAGAAAACCATCGATTCGATTCGCGTGAAAGCAGCCGACGACACTTGGCGTCAGACTAATCTCATGAGCAAAGATGCAAGAACAAAACTGTTGCAGCAATTCACCGACTTAGGCATCTCAAATATTCACAAGTACACTTATGGTAAGTTAAAAGATTGTATGTGAAAAGAAAAATATACATCTGCAATATTTAATTGATTTAGTTTTCAGTTGAATTATTTCAAATCTAAAACTTCATGTTATCTAGAAAACAAAATAACCGAGCAATTATGAAATATTAAACTAAATAGGAAAAAAAAAATTGAAAATATTATGGGTTGTTAGCATGAAAAATTGTCAAATTTTTTAAAATTAATTTAGGGACTTCTATTCTACAAATTTAATTATATATTGCAGGGGAAACATGGTTGTGTTTGTCGTCAAATACAATTTCGTTCACCAAACGCTACCTTCAGTACGTTGAGTCGTTGCTCATCCTCTGCATCCCAGAGCTGGAGTTCAGCGTCCATCACTCTCTGGCTGTTGTGCTGCGGGAGCAACTTGTGCATGTTCAACAAAGTGTGGGCAAGGATGGTTTCGACCAGGCCACAGTCGAGAAAAACGGAAACTTCCTTGTTGGCGAACTGCTGCCGTTGGTGATGAAAAAGTTTGATTCCGCAATTGGACACCCGTGCGAAAATTTAGAACAACTGGCTAAGGAGTTCGCAAGCCTGGCCCCAAAGTCTGTGACCAAATATTCCACTACTGTTTATATTTAATTGTGTAATCTATATTAGAGAAACATAATATATAAATTAATTTTGTTCTGAAAAATTATTAATTCAATAAAACCATGATATTTAAAAAACCACATGCGTTTTTAATTTTCTTATACTTTATTGGTAATCTTTGATAATTTAAAAAAAAATCAGAATTAACTTGGCCAAATATAAAATTATATTACTTAGGTGTCTTAGGTGCTCCGAAATTTGAAAAAAAAAATTATCTATATTTTTGCATTGAGGCGAAATCTGGCCTAATCCAGAATATTTCCTTCCAGATTTTTACGATTTCCTAAGCACCGTTGATCCTTTGGCTGCTTTAGTAATAGTTTTCGTCATTCCAGAGATAGACTTCATTAAGTTTCCTCCTTCTCCAAGGTCGCAAAGCTATTGACTAATTAAAGGTGCAGTCATTCATCTATTGATTGACTTGGCAAGCTTTCTTGATCGAGCCATAAAAATTTTTTCAGGATTTCTATGAATCTGTTAAATTTAATAGAAATGAAATTTTTAAATTTGTGCAATTATCAATTAATAAAATTGAATTAATTATTAAGGTTAATTTCACTTATTGTAAAATGCACTTAAAATTATCAATCATGTTTTATCCATTTTTTGTTAAATAATTTTCTTTATAATTTTTTTATAGCAACAAAAAATAATTTTCATACGAGTGCAGTTATTTATTATTAATATTCATTATTTTTTTATGTTAAAAATGTATATATATTTTTTTTATCCTAGACTATTTTTAACACCATTCTAGCTATTATTTTGAAATAGATGTTGTTGGCCGTCACAATTGCACGCATCCCTGACGGAACAGTCGAGCGCACTCCAGCGCGCTCGAGAGCGCGAGATGCTGTAATAATCTTTTGCTGCGAGCTGAAAGTGCATACGTGACAAGCGCAGAGAGCAGCGGTTGTATTTTTTTCAGTGCGACGGAAACCCGTGCACAAAGAAAGCATTGACTCCGCGCCGACCTTGATTTGTCAACGGCGTGACCTCTCGTTCAAATGTGCCTTCGCCAGACACCAATCTCGATCACTACCGGTCCGCCAATGTTCTTTTATAACTACACAATATAAATCCCTTTCAAGGCGTGGAAGATGGAGAAAGAGGCTGAAAAAGCGGAAAAAGAGCACTGCCGCACAAAAGTGACTCGGCTTATTACACGCCCTTTATATATGCTGATGTGGTAATTGCTTCAAAAAAATCGACCGTTGAAGTTAATTGTGTGATAATTTTATTGTAAAAAACGTATTTCTAAGATTTAAATTTGAAATCATCAAAAGATGCGCTTCTAATAAATCAATGAATTTAGAAAAATCAAATCAAATTTAATAAAATAAAAACAAATTTAAAAATAATCATGAGTGCAAATTAAGCGCAATTTAATGTACACAATAATTTGGCTATTATTAATTTTTGACGTGAAATTAAATGCATTGATAATTACGTTAAAAAAGTAAATTAAGAAACGTTGGTAAACTGAAACGTCTAATTTAGATTTTTTTATTCAAATTGTTAAGAAAGAAAATGAGCACGCCCTTTAAAATTAATTTATTGCTTTATTCCTGTTTTTGTTTTGGATGTCTCATCAGGTGTACAACCCGCACAACCATTGATTGTAAAAAGTGGTTAATTCTATATAAGCAGAAATGAGCAGAACATGATTTTTGAGGTCGATCAACCCTATAACAATAAAAACAAAATTTATTTCCAAATATGATTGATTTAAAAAACTATTCTGGATTGATAAAAGGTAATGTGCAAATTCCTTTTCAATTTTTTAAAATTTACAAAAATTCTCTTATATATTTTAGTTATTAAAATATATCAAACCATGCTACTGATGGGTCTTTAGAAAAAAAGCAATCTACAAAAATAATTGCAGTTGAAGCAATTGAAAGCTTCGCTAATTTTTTAAATTGTATTTTAAATTGAATGGAATCTTCTGAAAAAAAGGAAAAATTTATAGATTTGCTGGCAAATATAATGGATATAAAATTTCATAGCGATCACCTTGAAAACATTACAACTCTATTATACTAATCGTGTTCCAAATAACTGTGCAAATAATTATTTGCAACAATTTTAACCGGTGGAAATCACGCGTGCTAAACTGCACTGCGGTCGTTTGAATAAAAAAGACACACACAATATAATTATGTTTCTTTTTGCAGCACCACGCGAGGCGTATGATTACTTCATTATTTGCACGTCATATACAATTACGACGGCTATATTATTACAGGGACTGAGGACTTTTGGTGAGAGGGTCTCTTAAATTTATGTCCTTCTCGTACTGAGGTCATCTATCGACTCTCGGAAGGAATTATGGCACCGGAAGAAGCATCAAACTGCTTAATTTCGCACTTGATCCCCACCGCGTGCAAATTTAGCCGCTCGGCGTTTGATCCCACCATATCGTAAAAAGCTCCTTCCTTCCTACACAGGTGATATATATTGCAAGTCGGGTTCCACTCAGGCACTCCACGTTATCCTCCACCACGAGTTTACTCATCGAGCCAGCGCCGCTCCCCAACTTTAAGCCATCATGAAGGTGGTGAGTTAAAAAACTGTTTAATTTTCTTCATTTCTAAAACTTTTTCTTTAAATTTTTTTCTCTTTATATTATCAACAGATTTCTCAATTTCTTAATATTAAATTTTTTTCAGATCGTGAAACTTTTAATTCAATTATTGTCTTTAATTTTATATTTCATTTTTTATTTTGTTGTGATTTATTTCCTTCAATTATTACTCCAGTCTTTAAAAGAATGGTGGTTAACTTTGATTTAAATCAAAAAGTTCTATTTTTTTAAATTTTTTTACTTTGGTTCTTTGATCTTATTGACTTCTCAACTCTGCTTCTAAAAATAGACTTATGCTTTTCACGATCTTTCACAATTCTCTGTCATCAAAAGAAATTATGCAAATTTGCGTCCACCTTGAGAAGTCTCAACCGATCATATGAGTTATAGTCTATTATTCTATAAACGCGAAATTCCCTTCCGCATTTGCATTTCCTTCTCGTCTCTAGGCAAAAAATAGCCGCCTAATGAGTTTATAGCTCGGAGCGATCGTTTACATTAACATTGGCCTTCAGTATCCTCGCCCGCGCGAGTATCTCTTACTGCTCCGCGTGAGCATTCAAATTTCGCCTCCGGCTTATCCGGGTTTTCTATCGACTCACACGTTTCTGCAAAACGCACACGTGAGCTGTCTGACATTTCAAGAACTTGCAAAACAATAGAACCGAGACCTTCAAGAGATTTTTGACAAAAAAAATTCATAAAAAAATTTATATCATAAGAATGCATTGCCTTATTTTATTTGTTTAAAAACAGTCGAAAAAAATTTATTTCTAATTTAACACGCGTTTTTTTTTTAATTTATCAGTATTTCGTGGAAAATTTTAATTTATGAGTAAAAATTTTGTATGTGAAAAATATTTTTACGCTCGAATTTAGATTTTAATTTTAACTGATTTAATTTCAATTAATGAATTAAATTGAATGAAATTTCGACTTTTGCCTTTCACAATGCTTACATTAATTGAATTTTATAATCAATTTAAATTGAAGTATAATTATGAGTCTTTAATTTTTTCTTTGTTTAGTAAAAAAAAAAGAACAATTACGTTCACTATGGCTTTGCTTTGTCTCATAACGCAGTCTAGGATTTATGTATTGGCATGCCATTGCACACATGTTGCTCGAGTGGGATCGGTTAACTAATCACGAGCAAAATAAATGCTTGATTAGCCACATCGAGCATGCAGGTACAAATCTACTGGGGCTCCGCGCTCTATGACATAATCGCAATCCAGGTCATTATTATTTATGCAACCGCTGGAAACTGCAGGGAGCAAAAATAATATTATACCGGTCTCTTGCTGCTTCACTTTCGTGCGGGTTGAAATTTAGGGCTCTTTGCGTCAGATAAAAATGTTTGAAAACAAACACGCTAAATTTCGAAAGACAGTTGATAAATGGTTTTTCCAGAAGGTCGAGTTTGAAATTTTTAAATTATTATCTTGACTGTAAGATCTTTTTAATTAAGAAATCAATGAGGCCAGTAATAAGCGTTATTGCATGTTTTGTAATTAAATTATTGAGCTAAATATGTGACTTGCTCGGCAATGAGTCGATTACAAACATTTTAACTTTTATATTTATATTACACTGAGTTGCGATAATATTTCAAGGTTAAGAGTTTTTCATTAACTTTAAATTATTGAAAAGTTTTTTTATAACGCCAGAAATTTTATCTTAGAAATTGAAACATATTTTTATAAGTTGGTTTAGCGGTTATAACTTTCAATTTATAATTTTATTTTTTGGTCCAGCATCAAACTCGGAACCATTTCAAAAAGATGCATGGCTAGGTGAAAGTTGACAATGTTTTTGTTGTAAATTACTGAAATAACTCCGCCGGCACTTTTTTGTTATATTTGTTTACTCGCCCCAGACAAAGCTAGAAAGTGGTGGTGCCTGATTTATTCAAGCGTTCACACAATGATCTATATAATAGTTCCGCAAATCGGCACATTGGCCGCCGACGAAAATTAATTATCCGCCGATTAGCAACAGTCGATAGCTCATTACATCACGCGGCATCTCCTGCCGGAGGCAATTTTGCACCGAAACTCGGCTCTTTTCTGCAGAGCAGTTACATGCTCGCTGGCTATACATAACACAATACCCTTTTCTGCACGCTCCGACGCCGCTCCTGCTTTTCGCTTTTGCAATATCAAATTCTGCAAGAGATGCTAGCTGAGTGGATTTTTTCTCTTCTAATTTTCCGCAATTTTTTTCCGCAGTTCGCCATTCTTGTCTGCGTGCTCGCCACGGTCCTCCAGATCCAGGCCTACTACCAGGGCGCCCAGAGTTTCTTCTACCCTGGTGCCCAGTTTGACGGTCGTCTCCCTGGAGGAAGCAGTGATGTTGGTCAGTAAACTTTAAATTAATTTAAGTTGAATTGATTGAAAAAGTAGCCAAAAATGAAATTATGCTTTGCAATATTTAATTTTAAAATTACTCGGAAATCCTTCCTTTCCGAAAGGCTTGGCCGGTACATTGACAAAGGTACTTGGTGTTGCGAAGTCTCTGATCATTACATTATTATACAGTCTATTACCTTGAAAACGCGCTCAAGCCAATCGGCACCTTCTCATGTGTGATTCAGATTCGCTTTTCCTTCTTCTAAATCACACACGTGCGCACCTCTCAAATTAGAACAAAAAATCCCGGAAGTTTCCAAATTTAGGTTGCCCTACCTAAAATTTTTGACAAATACTATGCAAATTTTTATTCAAGAAAGTCAATTATTGGTTCGTACTGTTCACCAATAAAAAGAAAAAAAATCGAAACCTTCGAGCGAATACAATTTTTTTTCTTCAGTTTTAATTCCGGTTTCCCTCCGGACATATCAATTACAATCTATAACATATCGTTCGCCGAAGACCTGCGTAAACGCGCAAGGTCAACTGGCGGTAAACTTTTAGTACTTTTACATCCACGCCATCCACGGGTTCCAGTTCCAATTAATTTAAACGAGTTGCCTATCGCTTTTTTTATAATAATTTCGCGTTAAATTCAATGAGCCAAAACTGACATACATTAAAGAAAAAAGACCACTTCCGTTTTTAACAAGGCCATCGAATATAAAAGCCAAGCGTAATGAACCTTTGTAAACTCTAAATTATTCACTTTTTAATAAATTTCCTTTTACATAGCAACGATTTAAATATTTTCAATATTAAATTTTCGTTATTTTCGCAGGACCTGTTCAATTCCCTTCGGCGCCATTGAGCTCAGAGACCAGCGGAGTCGTGCCCGGCGCTTCTGGCTACGGCTTTGTGCAGCCTGGAGGTAAAGTATTATTATCAAATAAAAACCAAGTTCAAATCGATTATCTTTGCTTACTATGCTTTTTTTAAATACAAGGGATATAATAGCTCTAAATTGTCTCAATAATTTAACAAATTTAAAACAATTTTGAAATCAATGCAATAAATTTTATAATACTTGAGATATAAAGTAAATTTATACATTCTTGCACAACCTCGGTGTCTGGCAGCACCTTTTTCCGGAGCTATTATTCAGCGCTCCGGTCAGTTTTACGTCCGAGAATAATTGTCTAATGAAAAGCAACACCCACACACACGGGGCTATTGTGTCACTACACAAGTATTTTGCATCACACACAAGAAACGTTTATTAGACCTTTATTTTCTTCATGCCGCCTGATTATCGGAGCATAACGTACACACGTACACGGCGCGTTCCCTCCACAAAACACACCACCTGTTTCATGATCACAACAGACATGAAAGCAAAGTTACCCAAGTTAAATGCCGCGTGGCTCATTAATACCCTTCTATACACAGCAGACGCAATCCACTATTGCCCATGCAAGCTCGGAATTAAAAAAAGTATCATTGCGGCACTTTTAGCAAGTGCCAAGAAATTACCGCCAATAAATCAATGTTAACGGTATATTTATTTTTGTAATTTTATAATGAAGCTACCAGATCCTATTTCTCAATTTTCTGTCTTTAAAGTTAGATTCGTTTTGCTCTAATAAAATCATAATTTTTTTTATTAAATTATTATTTTACTTTTATATTTCTAATTGGCATTTTCATTTTATTCCCAGCCGGCCGCTCTTTCGGAAGGTCCTCCTTCCAGTCTGGAAACGTTGACTTCTGGTAATTCTCCTGACACGTCAAGAGTCTACGACCTCGAGAATCAAGTCTGCTTTGAAGTCTAAGAGGCACCGTTAGGCTTTATGGTTTCGCAAGTTGAAAATTATTCGAGTTTACTAAGTTATTCATTCCCGGAGTGGAAATTTAACAAAATTGTGTGTGAAAATGAAAATGTACAAATGTATTTTTTGAAGACGAATAGATCTCATGACGAGTGCATGGTTTCCGTAACTTAATTATTGTAATAATTATTGTGCTGGGCAAGAATGTGTGCGTATTTTGTAAATTAATTGTGTTGAAAAAATAAATAAACTAAAATACATCAGGTGAAACATTGAGATATAATTTAACTTGAAACCCAAATAATTAATATAAATGAATACTCATTGCTGCAAAATAAATTTGACTCATACACATAAAAAATAAAATAAATTATAAATGGAAAATTTTGGAAAGTCTTACCTTGAAAGAAGGATTCTGTGAGCGAGCACCTCCTATCCGATTGATGTAGTTTGATGAGTGAAGAGAAATCAGTTGTGGTGGAAAATTTTTAAGCAGCAATGAAGCCCATTTCATAATGGAATTTATAAATTGGCCAAAAATTTGGACAAGATATTAAAAAAGAAAAGATTTTTAAGTCTTATAGTATCTATTGGAACACAAGTACAAAATACATTAATTTTCCGTTAATTTTGATTTATAAACAAGACAGTATTATTTATCAGTCTGTAGAGAGAGTCTAATAAATTTCATTCAAATATTGTTATTTTAATGGAAAAAAATTTGAGATTTGGTTTTTGACGTAAAAAAGGGATTTGGAAATTTAAGTGAAAATGATTGCAAACGCAGCAAATCCAATGCCCCAGATGCTGACAACTGGATCTGTGACCTGGAAAATTGTACGAATGCTATCCAGAATTTTCACCAAATATTGATTGCTAAGGGGCCAGTCTTGAACGTTCAGAAGATTCAGTTTTTCCAGATACTCCAACAATGGTTTGTGTTCAGCAGAGAAAATGGGGAAGTACTCGGACTCCTTCTTGCGGGTCCACCAGGCTTCTCTAAAAATGTACAAGACGGGAAGAGGGTTTCAATAATTACTCTTCTTAATACATTTACTAGAAAAAAGATGAGCTTTTGCTTTTAGAAAAAAAAATGAAGCAAAACCTTTTGCAAGAAATTTATGTACATTGAACGCTTTTAGTCATTTTATTTTTACAATTAAACGCAATTAAAAAAAATAAATAATTTAAAATAAATGATTGTCAGAATAAAAAGTTTTAAGCAGATATCTTGGTAAGATTTTTATATTTACCTGTTTTCCCAAGCTGTGTATCTATAGGTGTACAAATTGGCTCGTATGTATTTTGGAGCGGTTTTGAACGGATTGTCAGGGTCCAGGAGCCTTAAAACTTCTGGCTGTCCTTTCAAAAGTCTGTACGCCAAACTGACAATCCATGGGTTTTGGTGGTACGTTCCGAGGGCGGCAAACCACATTTGCCAGTCAAGTCGAGGTTGGTGAGGAGCTGAAACATTATATTAATTTTGGAATAACTTTTTTTGTTCATACTCACCAACCATAGGTGGAGGTCTAGTGACATCTCCAGGTTTATACCTGAACTCGAACTCCTTCCAGGGGCCTTCCAACGAGTCCGAACCTTCAATGATCACTTCGGGCCTTCCATTGATGCCAGTCATGTGTCTGAAAAGACCGTAACCACTGCTCAAGTGGAATCTGTAGGTTTGGGCGTAGATTGGCTGAAGTGCAGTCAAGATTGGTGGCTCCGAATGGCTTTTGGGTCTTACGACCGAGTAGGGAACCTGAAGCAGGTTTAAATTTAGAAAAATTTCAATAAAATCTATTTCTATTTTATATACCAGGGATATGGCAAACATGGCTGAAGCAATAATCGAGTAGAACAGCACTCTTCCCAATTGGTAGAGCTTGCTGAAGCAGTCATTGTGTTTCCTCAAAACATTTAAGATCTCGTACGAAATTGTGCAGGCAAGAGAAGCAAAGCCGTACACCATCGTTAAAGGAACAAACCATGTCAGGACTTCTTTCAACTGGCGAGAGTCGAAACCTAAAAACAAAAAAATTTACATAGTGGGTAAATTTCGATCTATTTATAAAATAGGTTTATTAATTACTGGCTTTGAATTCCGGCGTTCCTTCAGGACCAATTTTAAAGTTGAAAAGTTTCCCAGTGAAGAAAATTGCAGCTCCGTACAAAACAATGCAAATTATCTTTCCAGCAGTAGATGGCCCAGTTCCTTCCTGCAGAGCTTGCTCTAAAAAAAAAAATTTATTGGAAATAAAGACTTTTGAAAAAACTCAAAATTAAAGATTATAAAATGCATTCTTTTTTAAAGTCCCCAGTTGGAGTCCCATTAGAAATAACTTTAAATATTAAAAAAAAAAAAAAAAATAGGATTTAAGATTAAACAATTGAAAAAAATTATTTAGCCTTTTTATTGAAGTTATTTTAAATCTTATTTTAATAAAATTTGAATTTATTATCATTGAATTACTTTTTGATTTGGGGTTGGTTGGCTCCTTGTACAAAAAGAAGTGGTCGTCAACGAGAGAGATGCAGAGAACGATGGTGATCAAATTGAAGAAGTTGTAGTTTCCGGTGAGCATGATTGTGACCTGGAGCAGGATCTGCAGGTAGAACGCCGTGTACTGGATGGCTCTGATGGGGATGAAGAAGAACAGGGGCACGACGCACTCGATGAAGTGTGCTCCAAGAACCGAAAGGTGCAGGAACCACTTCGGAAGGTGGTGGGCGTACCAGGCCAAGGGTGTGGGGATGCACTGTGACTCAAAGTGGACGTCCAGAGCAGTCAAATCCCACCAGGTCGGACAGCCACTCGTCAGCTTGACCACTCCCGAAGCAAACATAAGGCGGAAAATGAGCCAGCGGGCCAACCAGAAGCGGATGGAAGTGCTCTGGTCCACTTTGCGGAAACGGGTGCCCCACAATGGAGCAATGATGATGCTCAAAAAGCCCAATTCTAGCAACAGAATGTCCCTAAAAGTTATAATTGAATTAATCTTCAAGGAAAAAAATAAATATTAAATTTACTGAATTGTGCTTATAAACAAGAATTAAAAATCACAAAATTTAATAATTTTTGTTTATTACCATTGGAATCCAAAGAAGACTGGATTGACTTGGAAGAGGGACTGGTAGAATATCCACAGAATTGCAAAGAAAGGGGCCGTGCAGAGGGAACGGTTGACGAACCTGTGACATGAATTTCAATTAGATTTTACCGGTGTGAAGAATTTGATTTTTATATTACCCGAGGAATGCAAGTATAGCACCGAGAAGAGCAATCAGTTCCATGGCATATTGAGTGTTGAGACCGATTTCCGGTGCCAGCCACAACAGGGTTGGTTTCTGCAGGAAATTTTCCAAAAACGTCCTGGTCGAGGCGGCTTTCGTGTCCAACTCGGAGCACGCCGGTAGAATTCCATTATGTCCATTCAAACCTAAAGCGTACTCATCAATTAGAGTTGATTTTATTTTTTTAATTTTTACTGTAATTTACCTGGAATTTGGACGTAGATGGAGAGGAAAGCAAACAGGTAGATAAAGCAGACGCACCGAAGGAAAAGCACGCTGCTGTAATACACAGTTTTCTGCATTTTGGAAGATTCGACCAACTTCTAAATACTCTACATTAAAACTGCGTGGTTAATCGATGAATTCCCGATCAGGAATAGCTTCCGAATCGTAAATTGTGCGCTTTGACAGTTCTATTTTGGCACTGAAAGTAGAAAGCACCGCACCACCGACACGCTGAAGGCGAATTATATTATTTTTTTATTCTTGTGTGTTATTTTCAACCAGAGCCGGTGGGCGTAACTCACGGATTGACACGAATCGCCTCTCATGTTGATAAAAGCATGAGGGGGAAGGGGCGCGTAAATGACACAATGAGAGAGCCCAGCGCAACAGCCCAGCGCCCTGCAGGGTGCAAAATAGCAATTATTTATGGATGTAATTAGATTTATAGCGGGATTTAATTGATTTCAAAAGTAGAAAAAAAATTAATTTTTCAACAATACCTTTTCATGGCGAGTCGGCGACATATTATTATTTTCTAATTTATTATTATTTTTTTCTTCTGAATTATTCCTTTTTATAGTATCACACAGAAATACCAAAATTGAAATTCCTAATTATTTTTAATAAGTAAGATACAGAGCAAACTGATACAAATGAAATTGTTAATCAAGGAAAAATTATTACAAAGACATTTAATGAAAATAATTTTTCTTTTCAATTAAACGAATAAAAAAACATTCATTTGAATATATATCTGTAGAGTCCAGACGTGTTTAAAAAGTTCAGAGGGGTAACTAGCACAAGACCAGTGAGTATACAATACAAATATTGACCCTTTTTGTTAGTACTCATCAGAACAAATCAAAAAATCAAAGCTCTAGAACTCTGCAACCTGCACGACAGCAACGAGTTGCATTTTGCATACCTTTCTGATTTGAAGTCATGCTGCGAGTTACCAGCACGAAGAGATTAATAATTCCGATGGAAGATATTCAAAATAAAATTGATATTTCTGCGACCAATGCCTTGATTTTTGAAGAAATAATTAATGTTTGCACAAATTTGTCACTTGAGAGTAAAACATGTTCAGCGCAGTTGAAAATTCACAAGATATACTTAAAAAAATAAAAATGTGATTAACTTTAGCAGAACTTATTCGCACAGTAGGCAAATTTTAAGTCTTTACCTCAGTGGTGGTTAAACTTTTCACCTGTTTTCCAATTATATTGTTGTTTTGAGAATTCCAAAATAAATAAGACGCTTTTCTTTTTAACATTTTTAGTTTCAAATCGCCATGAATTAAGCATAGTCAAAAACTCATCCAAAATCATTTTATCCTTTGTCGGTGTGGGCTCAAATATAATAATTTGTTGAAACATGTGTTAAATATTATAATGTATTATATGATATTTTCATGATGTTATTGGGCCAATTGTCTGGTGTGGTGATATATCAAGAGAGAAAAAAATTGTATATAGGGAAAATTATTCATTATGAATTCTGTCTATAATTGGTATGCAAATTTGTAATGCAAGTCTTTGATTCTTATCTTATTGATAATATTTGATTGATTATTACATGTGCATCTGGTGTAATAGCAAAGTATGAGCGTGATTTGTACCCAATATAAACGTGATTCATGGCATGGAAACTTGAACTTTCAACTGCGAGCAGGTGCTGTGCTAGATGCATTATTTGAACCATAATCCACATGCCATCGCAAAACGCCGGTGGCATTTTTCGGAAAGAAACTAATCACAATAATCAAAGAAGGTGTATGCTGTGAGTGCAAGTTAAGATGGATTACGTGGTCGTTCACACTCAATATATCGCAATAACATAATAATTCTGATCCGGGACGAAATGCAGAGCTCCGGGATCTCGCCTATTAGGGACCCTTTTATTTCTTTTACCTGTAAGTGTTTCAAGGACCATTACCGCGGCTAATAATCATAATATTACACCGCGCTCCACAGATTATATAATTGATGGGGCGTGCATTTAAGAAGGTTTTGTCTCTCGGTCACTATTTGCAGGATCTGCATGAGCTGATTGATTTGGTGACCCGGATCTCGGAATTGGAGCGATTCTGTAAGAAGGTCTCTTTAACAAGAAACATTATCCATGCACTATTATTAATAACCTCCTTTCATTCAATGACAATTTTTATCATGTTGAGTTTAATTTTTACTATTTTTAAAAACAAAATTTGAAAACTAAATTTTTTTCACAATTTTAGATGTATCAAAGAGTTATAATAGCAAAAATATTTTTTTTTTATTAATATGCAACATTAAAAAAAATACTAGTCAGAGATATTTTGTTAGAGAAAAAAAATTAAAATATAAGTAAATCAAATAATAATTTGATCCAAAAAAATACAGCATAAAATATTTATTATTTATCAATAATTTTTTTACAGCTTAATTAATTATATTTATGGTCTCAATTTTTAACTCAATTAAAGCAGAAATAACATTTCGAAAAAAATTTTTCCAGAAAATATTTCGATTTACCACATTTTTCATTTTTGTGCTAGCGACGAGTGATATATTTAATATACATTTTCCTCAAAACTGACCTCAAAACAAAAAAAGCCACTGCCCAGGTAATAAAAATAAATCATGTTTTACTAACTGAGAAGGTGTATAGCGCTAGAATTAATGACGTCGTTTTTGTGCCTCGATTTAAACGCATAAACTCTGGCCTTTTAGCAGCACGGCGTGATCAAATAATTGCGCATATACTCACTGAACTCCTCAAGGATGTAATTATTATGCGGCTGTAAATGTTATTTTAATCAAATTAAACGTGCAACGACGAATTTGGAGCAGAACCGAGCGATCCTTGAATACCGATTTGCGTTGCTCCATTTTCTTATTTCTTTTTAACTGGCATAAAATAAGAAATCTCCTCTTCAATTTTGCACAAAAAGAGCAAAGAAAAAGTAAAAGTTTTTATAAATTTATTTATAAGGTGACAATAATTTATCTGTTGAGGCGTTTCTCGCACCAGTCTGTGACAATTAGACAGCGCTTTACCCATGTCCTACATAGATTATGTTATTGTTGTGCGCCGAATTTGACAGCGAGGTTGTCATGTGAAGTCAGCCAGCAAATTTATACACCTCCGCATATCTGCCGTTTGTTTGGCTGCGCAAAAATATACACTCGTTAAAGACCGTAATACCTATGTACTTTTCACTTTTGTCACACCAATTACTTTGGCTTGTCTAGCGTTCTTGTGCGAATAGATAGCGACAAGAATTGAAAATTAATTTTTGGATAATGGTGTATAAAGTTAAGAACGCAAGAAGAAAAAATTTAAAAGGAGGTTATAAACATTGCAAATAATAATTACCAGGTAAAGACGAGTTTAATCAAAAAATTGTATAATAAAGTGATAATTTTTTTTCCAATTCTTCTAAAGGGAAACAAGGATTTGAAATTGTTTGTATGAAATTTATAAGGGCGCTGATTTTAAAAGGTGATAATGTTCTTTAATTTAAAATTGATATTTTTTGTTTGCCCGAGGTTCCTAATTGTCACAGAAACTATTATTTGGAAACAGTCTGTAACAATGAAAACAGTGGCAGATAAAAATTACAAATAAAATTCCATTTATTACTATTATTGCTTGTTCGTGTTATTAAATTATTACCATGGATGTTGTTTGAAAGTGTCACGATATAGTCCAGATATTTAAAACAAGGTCTTCAAATCACCTAAAAAATCTACTAAAAGCATTTTTTTTTAACATTGAAAAAGTAAAAAAAATTATTAGACTCACTTATTTTGAACCACACTGACACAACTCAATTCCTTTTTTATTTTATTTTGCCTGATATGAATATATCTTTTTTTACAATTTTTAATAAGTATTAATATAAAACATAATAATTATATAGTTTAATTTACATGTAATACTGGAATTATGTTATGAAAAATTAATTTGTTTTAAATTCAAATAAACCCTTAAAACTGGATTAAATCAAAATCGGGGGTTCCCAGCCAGTCAATTATACAAAAGGAGTGTGGAATTTTTCTTATCATTTGAATGACACTTGAAATGGCAGAAATGGCAATATCATATCTCCATGAACGTGAACTTAAAGGCTTTCAAGTTTGAGGTGTATTAATTCCTGGTTGGAATTCCCAAAGTCTCTTGGATGTTACCCCACTCGGAGAGTGATCGTTACGGCTGCTCTTATCAAATGCGAATCCTCTTTATTTGCTTTGATTTATTTTACTGACTTAGCTCTCGGACTAATGAAAAAAAAAACACGATTTTCTCAACTCGAAGACGTATGGGAATCCCAGGAGCAGGTCGAAAACCCAAAGTACTTTTTGTCTTCTGGTGCACATTTTTTTTTTAACCGCAGAATTTTCCTCATCACGACTGATTGAAAAGTTAAAACGCAGTTGTATGGAGAAAAAAACCAGTCGCAGGGAGCATCCAAGAGCAGGACCTTCACTTGAACCAGAAATTACATTTTATAAATATAATTAAAAGCTGGAAATTTTAATTCCCCGTCCGGTTTTCCGCCGCCCTCGCCGCGAGAGAGTGAAGGCAAAAATTAATTGACGTGAGAACAAACAAGGAAATTTGTCTGGGAAAATGTTATCGGAGCACATTTTGCGGACGCTTTGACGGACAAGCTGTTACAGTTTGTGACAAATAGAATACTTTCATACACCTGGCACTGGCATTAGATAATAAAATACAACGCGTCGTGTGAAACAATACACCATCAATTATGACCCAGATTTGTCTCTCAAAGAAAAAATTATGATAATAAACGCACTTTGCGAGTTTATATTTATTCGCCTTTGGCATAATTTGTTACAAATCAGAGAGTTATGCTATCAATTCAATTACGAATATAGTATTTATAATCTCAAGAGTTGTAATATTCAAAGCTTTGGCCAATCTATTTATCATATAAAATGTGTGTTATAAGCATCAAGAGTGACAGGCGTTGCTTCATTTTAATGCACCAAGAAAATTAAGTACACATTATTCTCGTTTCTGAGATGAAATATGACTGAAGTGTGCTTCATTTAATTTCACATCAAAGCTAAAACTATTCAATGCAAAAAGTAATAATAAATCGGTGTGGATATGTTTCTTTATTTACATCTGATTACGATTTCAAAATATCTATAACTTCCATGAGGAAATTATGAAGAAAAATGTTTTCTCACTTTTGTTTTCTTCTTTGATGCTAAATTCCAATGAATAATTTGAATTCTGAAAATAATTTCAATAAGTTAATTGTTTTCTTTTATGTAATTATTTCCATATCCTTTAAATATAATTTTTCAAATTTAGTTTCATTTGCTGAAATTTTAGGAGGGTAAGCCTAAAATTAAAATACGTAAATGCTTATAAAATTTTAATTCCTTCACATTGTAAATAAAGTTTGGAGAAAGTGGATTTTCCTGCTAAATTAGAAGTTTTTCCTCTTCAAAACTTCTCCAATTAAAAAATTCTTAAAAATTACTGCGTATGTCATAGCAAGCGAAACGCGCAGTTTGTATAAAGAAATCGACAAGATGTTAATTAGCACGAGAGATGACGCGGGAAGATACTGATGTTTAAAGTCAATATCACAGCCCGCGAACCAAACACGTGGTCAATCTCTTAACCAGCAGGATAGGTGCATATCTAATATATGTAAATTCATTATTTCGGTGCCCATATTAGGCCGTGAAAATGTTCATAGAAACCACAGCGTTTGGTCTTGAATTTATAATTCAATCTCGCTTTTCTTTATTTTCGACTTTTACGGCAAAAATGAAATAAAAAGGCAATTTGCGTTCGCTGCACTAATTTATTTTTATTCTCATATGCTGCTGCTGCAGCCGCAAAAGTCAAAGAACCTCGGGGCAAATAATGGCCAAATTGGGTCACGGTCTGGCCAAGGTTTCGTTCTCGGCGCACAACCAGAGAACAAACTATATTATATGGCATTACACACTATACACCGCGCTGGCTGCCGATACAGATTGTCGCTCTCCCGAGAAAAATAATCCGGCCGATGAATGAGCAGGCGTTCATTCAAAATAGAACCTTCGTTTCGCCTAGATGATCAATCGCCGACTCACGCCTGGGAAGAAAAAACACTTCACGGAGAGACACTATTTATTTACTTGTATCGCTCGCAACGAGTAGGAAGTTGGAAGAAAACTAATCCGATTATTTGTTTATGTTAAGATTTACACCAGGGTTAGATGAAATTAATTGAAAAGTGAGAACCGAGAGGGATGGAAATGACGAGCCTTGGGAAATTATTCGATTAGACAAAACTGTCCTTTGCGTCATTTCGGTCATACTATATCGTCTCTAGTCCCTTGAAATTTAAATTTTTAATGGACGCCTGCATGGTTTTCAAGGACACTTTTAATCAGGAAAGTTACAATGAAGTGCAAAAATGAAGAAATGACGTGGTTCCTTCAATGTAAGAAAGAAAACTTTAGCTTTATTCACAATTTCGCTTTTTCTATGGAGTCTCCTATTATTAAATTTAGAACTTTTCTGCCAAATTTTTGCTGAAAATTATTTTAGAGTTGAATATTTTCTTATAAACAACAAGATTTATAGCGTTATTGCTAGGAATTATTTGATAAATTACTGCAATATTTTATTTGTTTTGTTTTGTTAAGTTCTTATTAAATGATTCAAATCTGGATTATTCTTTTATAGGTGGAGACTGGAGACACTTCATTTAATTTTGGTAAGCATTTTAGAAAAGAAATGAAAAATTTCATGTTTTTAAATACATCAGCATCATAAATTTAACCCTTAACAATGTGGTAAATTTGAAAAAAAAAAATACTTATATAGCTTGACTTGACATTTATAACTATTTAATAAAAATATACGTTTCAACTTTCAGGAAAATATGACTGTAAACTCTAAACACTATTTATTTAGTATCTATTTTTTATGTTGTTTTGAAATGCAGCTTAAAATGAGAACATTCAATTTAAGCACTAAATGTTGTAAAGTATTGTTTTTAAGTAATATAAGCACCAAATTTCTATAAAGTGTAACAAAACAAGTTTTCAAAACTTTTCAATTTAAAAATTCTTTTAACAACAAAATAGTGGAAATTGCAAATGAAAGGTTTTGAAGAATTCTGTTTTAAAAGTTGCCTAAATGCATATGGTCAGAAGTAGACTTCTTTTGTGCAGACAATCACAAAGTTTATCTGCCAATGGCAAGTTCGCAGCGACCGTTCGTCGTGATGTCACAGCGGCCGCGTGTGTTGATAATAACGCGGCGCAAACGCGGCGCATATAATCAGCAGTGTTCACTTTGGTGGCCGCCGGTTCGCAGCACATCTTGCATGACGAGCAGATGGACATCATCAGGTGGGTGTTGGTGCCGCTCAAGGAGTACTCCAATGAGCACCAGATCAAGTTCGTGCACTTTGTCCTCAAGAATGGCAGCAAGAATGGCAAAGGAGGTAAGCGCAATTTTAAAATTTTTTTTCTCGTTTTTATTCTGATGCTATAAAACTTAGAATAAGGTAAACAGTATTTTCTTTTATTTCAAGAGATTGAATTTACCGAAAATTGGAAATTTGTTTAGAGATTTGCAACAAGATTATGTTTCTTTTAACAATATTGTCTACTAGATACTTGATGAAACGGAATTTAACGATATTATTATATTAATTATTCTTCAGCCAATACAAAAATTTTAAAATTAAAAAAAAAGGCAAAAAGGATTTACATTGATATTTACTTTTTTTCAAAACAAGATGATTTTAATTTGTTTTTGAACTCCAAATTAATTTTATTCCTAATTAAAAAATTTTACATTATATTTATCATGTTTTCTGTATATAAGTCTAAATCTTAATTATTTTTGAATCTAGAATCATCAAAGGTTTAAAGAGCGTTTTTTTCTTATATCAAAGAGAAAGATTGTAGACGTAACTGGAAGGTAATGAAATGCTTGTAAACACACACTCTAAATTTAATAAGTGCGATGTTGTAATTTCTACTTCAAACTGTGTTAATCTTGCTTGCAATTGATTGTTAGAAATGTTATCTCCAGACTCTATTACGATAAAAATTTTAATAATGTTTAAAATGATGTAAACTCTTAAAATTTTATTTATTCATTACTTAAAATTTTTTCATCATCAACTTGCACCAAAAGCAATACATCATAATTGAAGAAAAAAATGTCAATTAGAAAATCGGATTACTTTGATAATGGATGTTATAAAACTATCAATCATAATTCAGATGCAAAAAGAAGATTTATTATAAATATTTTAGGTGAAAAATAGCCCATGGGCAGATGAAAAGATAATATTTCAAGAAGAACGCTATTTAATTGTACTTTTAAAGAGGTCAAGTACATATCGGCAGCTGTTCTGATTTAATTAAACTTTGGAAAGATAAGTGCTCAAATAATCATCTGAAGTGAATAATGCACGTAATACCTTTTCACAAGCCCTATCAACAAATAATGAATGACTAATGACGCAAATTTAAATCTTATCACATATTTCAAGAAGATTTTAAAATTGCGTTTTGATTTTTATATCTTGGCCTTAAGTAAAAAATGATCTGATTTTATAATTATATACAAATGAAAAATTAGACTAGCAGAAGTTTGTGGAAATTTTAAGGTTGCGCAAAAATTTAATCACGCTTATATATTTTATTTTTGAAATGAATTTTGTTTTTATTTTTAAACCGTTAAAACCTATTTATATGATTTAAATTATTCAACAAAGTCCTTTTGACGTGTGCATACACATGTGAAGTAAAACAAATGTGAGATCAACTCGAATGTTGTGTCATATTTGTGCCACCATAGCTTTTGACAAGTAGAGAACCTTCAGCGCGATCGAGATTTAAGAATTCCTCAAAAAGGAAGAATATTAGTGCGACATGCATTACCTGTCAAACGTGCTCCTCGGCTGCAAACAAAAATATCTGAAAAACGAGTCTCATCGCTTGTTTGATAAACCACACGTACTGTATATGTACAAATTAGAAGGCCGCAGTTGAAATCATCCGGCGCGAAAGAAAATAGAAAGAAACACACGACTCACGCTGATCGATTACGGCGCATATTGTGTGTCCGTCGAGCACTCGCTCAACAAAATCCTAACACACATTTAAACGTTCAGAGAGAGATGCCATCTCATTTTATTAATACGCAGGTGCGTTAATAAGCTCTGATTGTTGTAGTTCTTGACCTGCAAAGTCGAAAAAAAGTCAGGAATCTGTTTATATTTATTTCACACGCTGTTTTTCTCCATATCAGGCGTGAAAATTTAGAAAGCAAGCAAGGGTCGCGATCTGGAAAAATTAGCATAAGAGCCGGCGCTTATGCTGTGAAGAAAAAAAGAGACAAATGAGCGCCTCCCGCTAACGCCCATAAATCTCGGCGGTCCAAATCGAGCAGAGCAAGGCTGAATTTTAGAGGCAAAAGCAGGTGATAATTTGTTTCGCAGGATCTTTCATGCGGACTTTGATAATTTGTTGATATTTGGTAAGATCTGATCAGTTTCAACGATTTAGAAATACCATAGGATAAATTTTTAATTATAACAATGGCCACAATGGGACACACATCTTAATTGCGGTTTTGAATATAAACAAAAAATTGAAATTTATTTTTGATTTGAATTATTAGTATGATTTTGAAGTCCAAATTTGAAAAGAAAGTTATACGATTACATAAATTCAAGAAATATATATTTTTTATTGGAAATTGCGATTTAAAACTGGCTTACAATTTGTGGTTAAATTTTAGTTGAAAGTTAATGCCATCTAAAATTTTGTAATTTAATAAATTTCAGTCAAAATTATTTAGTTAAAAAGGTATGGGATTAAAATCTGTTAATGAAAATTCTCTAAAACTATTTTATAGATTGCAAATCTGTATTGCAAATTAAAATTTGAGCGGATCTTTCAATACGTTGTTTGCAATATTTGCAGAGACATATTACTTTTGGATTTTACTGCGGATCAAATAGTGCCGTTTTTCTTTATGCAACTTGATGAATTGGAGGCCAAGTGCTGCCAATTTTGATAATTTAAGCTGTGCAAAACAAACACACCAAAGTAGCGAAATTGCAGCATTTTGCTGATTGCAGTGATCAAAGCTGACAATGAATCAATTTTGATAAATAAAAGTAAATAATTTGGTCACAATTTCCAACTCTTTCTCTCCTTGCTCTAATTTTATTGTTTTGCAATATCAGACGGAACACACCCCCAAGTCATTGTTTACTCTGGCTAATTCAATTTAATATCAAACTTGTCCCGCGGGCGACATGGGGAGTCAAGGCTGATCCACGTGGAGATCCGTTGCGAGCAATTTTGCTATTTTTAATTACGCACGCTGAAAGGCCAAAATAATAATCACCTAATTACCTGCGTGAATTGCTTTAGTTTTGCAACCGTACGAACGGCACAAAGCGCGCGAGTGAACGGCAATTTGGCTGTCCATCAGCGTAATGAATGGAAGGCGCCGCCACACGTCAATCGGGCCGATTAATAACAAAGAAAGAAAGAGTTTTGATCTCTGTCCCTCTCTGCTTTCGGCGCGTATTCGGTTGGAATATTCGCCAAACGACTTTCAAAGCCGCGGGCGCCGCTGGCCTCAATACAAACCGAATCCCAGAGTGCAAATCCGTGATGACTATTTCTCGGCCTAAGTGCCAATAAACACACAGAACGATCGATAACCCTGTCAGATCTTGAGTCCACGGTACAATACGTATAAATATAGGAGGAGATGAAATCGAAAGTCTATCGGGGCCAGTTTAATTAGAGATTTGTTTTACAACTTTGGTTGGGAAACTTCTTCGTACCTTTTAACTCGCATTTTATCTATTTAGGACAGATTTATTTTTCAATAAAAGGTGGAGAAACATAAATAAAAACATTAATTTTATAGAGAAAATGCATTAACACCAGCAATAAGATCTTGAATTTGAAAGCGTTGCAAAATTTCGTATATTTGATATTTGAAAATTAATAAGGTTTTATTAATTTATTACTTAATTTATCTGATTGTATCACCGGTTGCGGTGGCTGAAGTTGTCAGACTCGCGTAAATGGCAGTGATGAATTATATTTTGTACTTGGCGTCAATGCAGTTCATATTCCTCAGAGACCTATATTTGCACAGGCCATATATTATCGCAGGTGCAAGAGATCAACGTGTATGTTGAGATGATTATCAATCAAAATCGAATCAAGTGGACCTAATTCTCGATGATATTGCAAAAAGTGATTTTGTTTAAAGCTTTTTAATTGGCAGTTGTTACTTTGTATTAGTCCAGGAGTTTAATGACAATGACGCATTATCTCAATGAAAGAACTTGGATTAGAAATATTGTTTAGGAAAATTTCTGGATCTTTCCTTGATTTCCTAAATTTAATTTGTTAAAAAATGAACATTTAATAAGGATTTAATTAAACCTAATACAAATAACAAAAATACAAGATCTAAGAAGCTATGTCATTAAAAAAGGGAGCAAAAAAGGCACTGGAATCAAGAATTAGTGACTATTTAAATACGTTTTATCCCTAACATTACGTAAATAATAACAACCTTAGCAAAGAGGCAGCAGAGAGGCACATGCTCCGTCTTCAATTCTTTGTTTATTCAATTTGTTGCCTCTGGAAATTTTAGGCTTCAAGTTTTTCTTGTATAAAAATCTTTATAATTTTTTGTTATCTATTCTGATTCATAATTGTTAATATAGAAATAAATTTTGTACCAACAGAATTACAACAGAACTTTTTAATTTGCTTGCACTTAGCTTTTTATTTAAGTTTTTAAAGACCAGCTAACAATAAGCTGACTGTGGATGAGGGGCAAAGCTTCTTTTTGATTTTAAGCTTGACGTTGTAAACATCCACAGATTATTTTCCTTGTAGCTGGTTTTCCCAATGTAGATTTTACCTTTTTGGAATTTCCACACTCTCCCTTCGTTATTTAATTTACGAAATCAAATTTTAAAAATTACTTTATTACTTCATTTGATTAAGAATTCTGATTTAATTCCTCAGAGTTCATCAATTCAAACAAAAAAGAAAATTTCATTGACGGTATCAGGAAACGGAAACCTGCATTTTTTGCGCCACAAAAAGTAAGACGGAAAAATTACAAGTGTGTATAAAAATTTCCGTAAAAAGCATCACTGGTAATTAACAAGAACACGGTCTTGATGGTTTTCGCGAGGCTAAGCACCCGAAATCGGCGGGCAGACCGGCGTAATTCACTGCCCCGCGGGCTCTCCTTCTCCCAGGTCGAACCTCGCGCCGGTCGGCCTGAACCGAGCTCGACCCACCAGCAGTGTGCGTTCTCGTGTTGCTCGGGACAGTCGCCTTTCACCTCGTCGCTTTTCGCGAGTTTCTCCGCCGAAAACCGCTTGCGAAGTCAGAATGTGAGAAACTTGAATTGGCCGACACAAAAAGTGACTCT